CCAATATATTTTACTTCATTCGAGATGTTCAGTAAGAATCCAGTCAGGATTTTTAGATGAGCCCCCACAGCGTCAGAATGAGACGGTGCCCAACGAAGCACTCATCCTGCATTGAGAGAATCACCAACGCACAAGCGATAAAAGTACCAGTCATTTGCAGAGAGCATAAGGAGGGGAGGGAAAGGCCCCATCAATGTTTGGGGCCTAGAATGGTACAGTAGATTGGATCAGCCAACACTCAACCTGACGATAAAAAAACAAAAACACATTCACAGGCAACCAGTCAGAGGTGGGTATAGCACCCAAAAATTGTACTCAAGAGTAACACAACATTAACATTTAAAAAGTAGTCATCCAAGAAATTACTCAAGTAAAAGTAAAAACGTATTTGGTAAAATGGCTCCTTGAGTAATAGGCAATTGTTGGATACCAACATCACATTTAATGTTTAGAAATAGTGCTGGAAAACCGACTTTATGTTCAAGTTCTGGTATTTTAAAGACTCAAATGCCTAGAGAGTACAGATAAATGTCAAACATTAAATTACAAATTCTTGCAAAAGAGATACTGTTACAATTTTTTTTTCCCCAGCATAAAGCTTAGAAAACCAATCCATACAATGAAATCCACAGTCCTGCACTGGTTATCTACCGGATACCCACTGGTAGACTGTGCAAGACTTATACACATCAGTCAAGTTCTTGTATGTACCCCCTAGAGAGAACAAAAAAGTATGAAAAGTTATCCAAATGAGATCCATTTATCTATTCTTGTTTCTTCTGAAGATTAAACATAAATTCAATGGCAATTTTAGAAAGATTGTTAAAGTGAAATGCCAGGTTATGAGTTCTTTAATGTAAAATGAAGTAGATAGAATTGCATTTTTATTTTGTTTATCATTTGATGCACAGACCTATAATTTCCTTACATAATCAAAAACTCTTAGCCGAATTGAAAATGCAGAAATAAAAAATATCCTAAAAACAGCCAAAGTAATTTTTACATGAATAATGAATAGTGTTTAAGTGCTACAATAATTCTCACACGAGATTTTTTTGACTTGGTAAAAGTCCTGCTGACAGATTATCAGCTAAAAGTAAATCACACTTCATTCAAACCAAACTCTACATATATTTATGTAAATAAAATAAAAAAAAGACTTTGCCATTAATGTAGATCTAACATTCATTATAAGAGGAGTAAATGATACAAAAGGTCCCTTTTAAACCCTTCTTAAACCCCAGAGAGACCTAAAGTAAGCAGTCTTTGGATTGTACACCAAGCTGAAACTGTATATGTTGATAGGTGCAACAATATCCTATCTGTCTGGAGACAATGCGCAAGGAGAAGGTGAGACAATCTACCCTCTTTGACTTTTAAGCCCATGGGTGAGTGTGTATGTTTTCAACAGAGTAATGCTCTAAAACTGTGACCTGGGTCTAATCAGAAATTCTCTGTTGTGGGCCTGCTAGTCGTTCCGCATTACTTCCCCTCTGTTCTCTGGTTAAATAACTCCTTCCTGCACGATTTCATAGGGATTAAAGGATGTGCTTCATATGTAAAGCAGGTAGCTCCAAATGCAACGAGATAGATTCTCACTCTCGCCCTTTCCTTCTAGCCCCCCCTTATCTCCTTGGTCAAGGTTGGGTAGGCTTTGATCACTGACAGAGGGTCGCTGTGTTTCGATTTTCTGTCGCTCTCCACTGAGAGGTTTTTGCTCTGCAATTAAAAATTATGTAAGAGAAGGTAGGGGGTGATCATTTCTCCAGAGCTTCTTTGGTCCCTGCGAAAGGCAGCAGCGAATGATAATCATGTGAGCATAGAGTTATAGCTAGTAAAAAATAAAAACAAACCAAACATTTGGCATATCAAATTACATGAGACCCAACAAGTAATTCCTACCATTTTTACCTGGGGCTTCCCTGAACCAAAACTTCCCATAATTTGCTTCTAAAGGTAAAAGTTGGGTTTACAAAGAGGCAGCAGAAGATGAATCTTAACACATAATAAAATATTATTCTAAATTACACATGAAATATGAAAGGAAACCTTCTTTGGTTCAAGCCAAATCCTGCTTCTGTGTGAAATACACTCACCATGTAAATCTAATTTAATTTTAAGCCAGCTGCCAAACTAATTCCAGGTGAATCCAGTTACCTGTAAAGTACACACGCACACATAACCAGGTAAGGGAAAGTCCTTATGTGTTCTGAATAGGCCTAGATTTCATGGAGGAGGATTGGTAGATGTATGTTTAAAAAGATGCATTAAGCTACATCAAATTTAAGTAGTTCTAAAATCAGATTGTTTTTTAATAGTACTTAATATATTCTCTACCCACTTCTCTTTAGCCTGACAAAAAAAAAGTTCTACTTGCACAAATATTTCATTGCAGCTGTGCAGCTATGTGCACACAGGGATGGACTTAGTTTGGCCAGAACAGCTTTACCATGGATCTCGGCCTGCCTCATTCATTGCATGAAAAAAAAATAAAAATACACTGCAATAGAGGAGCACATTATCAAAAGATGGTCTGTTTTTATATTGAGGCGGAACAGAAGAATTTCCATATTCCAGGTTCACTCCTATCATTTGTCACAAAAGCAGCCTGCTGTCGTCATACCCCTTTCTTTTGGCTAGTTGGGACATTTCTACATTACAGATTGGTTTATTCATCCCATTTTGTTTGCTGGTTGATTTGCTGTCAATGTTTGGGATCACAGGCAGAGATGAATCATTGGAATACGCCACATTAACCTTTACATTAACTTAAAGTTTGATTTTCATCTCCCAAACAGTCATTGTCTGTTAAGTCTCCTCTGAGGGGGGAAGGCATCTTGTACTGATGAGCTGGTGTCGCCTTGTTCTTTTCTCAAGTTTAATTGAAAATAAACATTGTGAAAGCCTTTGGAAAAAAAATAATCTTTAGGATTTATTGTTATAAAATAGTTTTAGGGAAACCAATCTGTGATTTTGGTTGAGAGATAATTTAAAGAGAATGCAAGCAAACATGGAGCAGAAAAGAAAATCATTCAAGAAGACAGAAATGCAGAAGAAGCCAGTAGCTATTTCAAGATTGAGGTGCAAACCTAGCTTAAAGTAGGTCGCAAATACTAGGTGATGATAAAATGTATATGCTAATTGGTGAAAAATGTCCTAACCTACATTTTTAAACTGTATTGCAGGATTAGAAAGATAAATGTACAAAAAAAAAAAAAAAAAAAAAAAAAATTCAGCTTAGTTCAGAAAGTTTGGGGGTTTAACTATAAAGATAAATTATTCAATTTTAACCTGAATAAACAGGATTTAGAACAGATTCACATTCAAAATGAACTGGCACAACACTTAATACACTGGCTACAAAAATCAGATGTGTTGACAAGCAGTGACATTTATCTTCATATGGCAAAAAGAGGCAGACAAGCAGCAGTGACCCAGATGAATAAAATACTCTGGGCATGGTCTTCATTCAGGTGATATGATTAGATCAATGCATTGTAATATAAACAATATTAAAACATATTAAACAACAGTTACATTTTCCTATCCTTATATAAATGATGTGAACCATTATTTATCATAAATCAATGTAAATGGTCAAAATAAATATTTGGGCATCTACATTTCTATTAGGTTTTGTATATTGTAATTGCAATGCTATTGCGTGTTAAACTAAAGAGCGAAAATGTATTCCTACAGCACATCCTGCCTGTGTTTCTACAGTTAGCATATTTAAAACGAGGTGAGATGAACAAAAGAAAAGCACTCACTTTCTGTCAACAATGGGTGGCGAGGTTGCTTGAGGACCCAAATGAAGAGGCAGTGGTGAGTTCTTGTAGTTTTGATTGAATGTTCACAGGTAACAGAGGCAGGAATCCAAAAATCCAACTTAAAAATGTTAAACAAACCAGGACCATGGAGACATCAGGGAAAACAAGCACAATGAGCCAGGGAAAGACAAGGAACCAGCACTGAGGAACTGCACAGGGAGAGTATTTATGGCTGACTGAACAAAGGCAGGGCTAACGAGCTGATTGGGAGCAGGTGTGAACAGAGGCTTCTAGAAAGGAGTTAGGCAAAAGGAGACCAACACAAGAGGGCAACAGAGGGCAACAAAGAAAAACCTGAGAACTCAAATATCTCCAGAAAACACAACAAAATAGGAATTAAACCAATAAAACTAGAAAATATGGAGCAAAGTAAAACTGAATATTCTAAAGAAAACTTAACAGAACCAAAACCGTAACACTTTCTGGATATCCATAATAACTGTTTAACAGAACAAAAAAACATAACTCATCTTTCAGACTCATGTAAATCCCTACTTCCTCTGCCCATTATGAGATGCGGTTTAAAGAACAGCCAGTTTCCGGAATTAAGTGTAAAAATCATGCATTTTCCAGGATATGTGGGCATCAAAACAGAATAGAGAAACAGCTAAACCACTGAGCTGAAATACATGTTTAAATATATTCAAGCCATGTAGCTATTCTTTGAAGAAGTATTAGCTGGTAGAAATATTGTGAAAGTAATTTATATCACATTTCTAGTACATGAGCCGTAGGCACACATGACTGAATGATCTGGTTGAATTTTAAAGTGCCTTGAGATGACATGTGTTGTGAATTGGCGCTATATAAATAAACTGAATTGTGGGGTCGCGAGGGGTGCTGGTGCCTATCTCCAGCAGTCAATATTATTATTATTATTATTATTATTATTATTATTGTTATTATTATTATTATTATTATTATTATTATTATTATTATTATTATTATTATTATTATTATTATTATTATTATTATTATTATTATATCAAGCTTACTGGGACTTCAAGGAGATTTAAGGAGGACAATAACATTGTATTCACTTTGTATTTGTCCATATTTGATGAAGCGTAAAATGGGACGGTTGAAAATAATAAGTGCTAAGTAGTTCTTTCCTTGTCTGTAGCTTAACATTTACTTCATCCAGATAAAAAGAAAAACCAGCACTAGACATAAGATCTGTTAAGACTTTAATTTATCTTTCTTTTACATACATTTTGCACAGAAACCATCATAAATACATAAATAAACACCAACATATGTGCCTTCTCACAATAAATCAATTATAGCAGCAACTGGCAAAATGGATCACAGTTACCTAAAACAGTCGAATGTCCCAGGTTCCAATTTCTCTTATTTAAACTAGAAATATTCAACCAGTTACACTTTTACAGAGGTTTCACAAGAAACCTCTCTCTCACTCTCCCTTTTTTTGGAAATTAAATAAGAAACAAGACAAACAGGAGCCTCAGCCCTTAAGCAGTGGAAGTCACAGGAGGTAGCATCTTACTCTCCCGCCTATCAATTTTACTCTTTTTTTCTTGCAGCAGGCAACATTTATTGATCACTATGATTATCATAGCCATCCATCCACATTTAACTGCATTTTTTACCATGTCGTCTCCATAGTGAAAGCTGCTGTAAAGCTACTTTATCATAAAGCTGTAGCTTTGTGCTGAAGGTTTGCCAATGTTCAGATAATCTTATTTTGATTCAGTGTTGGTTATTTATCATCAGAAAGACTGAAATAATGCAGGAACATTGCAAAGAAACATCATGATTGGAACATACATGGGGAGGTAGATCTAAAAATGTCTGTGTGCTTTACAAAAAAAAAAAAATACATTGCAGATAAAATTTTCCTTAACGGATAAGGAACCTGACAGAATATTAAGCGATCCAACAGAAAGGGTGGCCAAATGATTAAAAGGATTCAGTCCAGACTATCCAATATGATAGATGGGACGCGTAGCCAATTAAAATCACAATATAATGTTCTTTAGATAGATCCTTTATCTGAATTACATTAGTGAGGTACAGAGAGGTTAATGCCTGCTGACCTCCATCAGATTTTGGTTCATTTATACAGTTTTGTTCAGCAGGGTTGAAAATGGACATCAGTAACTGAAAGTTTATATGCAAACAAATGACAAGTAAAATGCAACCAGTAAACCAGCAAAAATAAAACAAAATAACTACAAAATTTCTATGTATGTGTTGGACTGGGGCGCAGGACATTTAACTGATTCATTAATACCTTAATACCTTTAAGATTAGGATTCATCATCAGTACATCCACCATGTGAATATCATGTTCCCTGCACACCCAAAAAGTGTTCTGTTCATTAGACTGAGAACTGGTGATGGAGGAGGCCAATGGATTATTGTGAACTCATTGCAAAGTTAAAATAAATCTATATGGTGGGATGGGTCAATGTTTTCATCTAGAGTGCATCATATTCTGATTCTAACATCTGAATTTTATGTGAAACTTAGCTGCAGGGGCAGAGATAGTTAACAGAGATAGTTAACAATCTATGTATTGTCTTTTTACATCAAAAATGTATTCATTCCAACAGAACCTTTGAAAAAAATCCTAGCAAACCCCAAAAAATGGTTCTTCATTAAAAATCCCATAAATCAGCAGTTTCTGACATATTTCAGAGCTCAAGACTTGTACCAACAACCATGTCTTGTTTAGAGCCATGCATTTCTTGGTGCTTGGCTGTAACTTAACTGCCCCATTGATGCCTAAAAGCACCGAGTTGCTGCCATGTGATGACTGAGTCGCTGCTTATGTTTGCAAGCAATTAAAACTGTACACCTAATAAAGTGGCCAGTGGGTGTATTTGGTGTTTTGCATCTTGTAATAATGCAATAGTCATTTTAATAACGCATGTTAACAGTATTGAAGAATTAATTTACTCTAATTGAGCAGGTGTCGCCTCTGTGTTTGGTAATAAGTTGTACTAAAACTGGAATAAATTGCAACAGGGTGAGCACCCAGCAGGAGGCAGAAGCCATTGGAGGTTAATCAGGGAACACAATGACCACCTGTTTTTGCTATGTTACCATGTGCACCTTGGTGCATTTGTAAAAACTTTCTTTTTTTTGGCTGCCTGATTGCTTTCCTGCATTGTCATGACTTCAAAAGGTGATGTATGTTGTTTTTTCTGATTATTATACTCTGTGCTCTTAACAGAAATAGTGACAAAGGAGGAAGTGAGAATGCTGAAATACAAGTTTTTCTGCATCCTACTTCATCTCTAATAACCTTTAACGGTAAGTAAACAATTAACTTCTGATTAATTTGGCATAATTTGTAAGTAAACGCAGAGCATTTTTGCATTTATGCATACATACATAAAGCTATGTGCAGGATTACACATTTAGAAAAAACAATAAAAGCATACATACCTTTATACAGACATAAAGTACATTCAGAGGGCAGGTGCACTCTTCTTGTTGGGGAGTCTGCCAGGTTTTCTCCTCCATATACCGACTGTGCGTCTGGCATCAAGGTTAAGGTCTGGAGACACACACAAGCTGTGCACTCTGTCTGGCTTTCACATACTCTGAATGGGCTTTTTGAATGGCTGTGACTCACAGACTGAGTCAACACCAGGGCGTCACACTCAACCCAATCCAACAATGGGTTCTGGAGAAAAGTCAAAAACTGACTCTCCTAGCACAGCCAGGAACTGTGTTCAACTTAATAAGTCGTCAGGTTTTCTTTTGCTGCTTGAGCCAAAGTGCTTCAAAGCACCCCCCCTGCAGTGTGTCTGTGTTCATGGGGTGCATGGCTACATCTCTGTTCTTGTTCTCAGTGTCCTATCAGAGCAGTGTCTGACCAAAGGCTGCTGGGAAGTTGGCTCTCGACATTGCGTGGAACCATTGACTCCAGCAGCGGTTCAGTCAGGGAACGTGGAACGTACACATTTTGTGCAATTCATTACAGTCAGGAAAAAAATGATAATCAGCTTCTATACATAAAAAAGAATTACAATCATATAGTGCTTTGCAAAAGTATTCATACCTCTTGATGGTTTTCACAGGTTGCCAAGTCCAAATTTTTATGTTATGGATTTTGTATGTTAGACAAACATAAGGTAGTGCATATGTAATGTGGAAGGAAAATAAAACACTGTTTTCAAAATATTTTGTAAAATGTAAAATTTGCCCTCCTTACTCTGGTTCTCCTAAATAAAATCTTATCTCTTGCATTTAGAATATTCAAATAATTAGAGAAGACAGTTAACCTACTTCTGTTTCATTCTCAGAATATAGTGACCTCTGTGAACAACTAACATAACCAAGATCAAGGAGAAAGGCTTAATAATTAACAATTCATGCCACACATTTCAGATTCTTACATGTAAAATATTTTGAAAACAATTCATCCTTTCACTTCACATCTGTTCACTACATTTATATGTTATCCTAACAATTCAAAGGGTTTCAATTTAGGTATGTGGTTAAAACTTGACAAAATGACGACTTTTCATTTGGTAGGAATACTTTTCCAAGGAACCTTGTGTGTGCACAATTGTAAATCTTCACCACTGTTCTATCAAAAGATCTAGCACACGATTCACATTTAGATCAGAATCCAGACTAAAATCGGACTCAACAAAGGGAGGTTTTGGTGGCGTGAGAGGATGGAGGCCTGATGTGAGGGTTTCGAGCCAATCGGCAGCGTCAAACGATGTGGGAGCCCGTCGTTTCCGGGACTTTCGGTTTGAAGGCATAGGGGAAGTGCATATTGGGAGAGGTGGAGGAGCAGGAACCACCTGACTTGGGTTTATAACAGCAGGAGATGGAGGGAGCTCCAGTAGGATGGAGGAACAAAGGGGTGATGGCAGGAAGTTTTCATCCTGTTGTTGAAATGGCTGAGGCTGTTCTGTTTGAGGGGAAGGGGTTTGTTCAGGAACTGGGTGTGCTGCAGCCTCAAGAGACCCTGGAAGCAGGATAGTAACAAAGATCACTGTGAAAAAAATGCAGTGGCATTAAACCTGCTTTTCTAGTTCAATGCTTGAGACTCACCATCAGAAATAGGCTCATCTAGAATGTCGTCAATTGACTGCCGAGGGTCCATCTATTGCAAAAGAAAGGAAAGGTGATGCATGACTGAGTTTAAAGTCTTTTTAGGGATTTACCTATTTTTTCTCTATACCAACCTGGGCTTTCTGAATCGCCTCCTGGAGCTCTTCCTCCAAGCTGCGTACACCAGGTGAGGTCTGAACTGGACTTGCTGTAATCTGCAGTGGCAGCTCAAAGTCATGTCCAATCACATCACATGACTAGCAGCAAAACCAAGGACAAGACAGCATAGATCAGTCGACAGGTGAGCATAAGTGCTCATTTACACAAGGAACTTAAATGTTTCATAACAAAATGATATAGAGTGTTTTAACAAGTATTTTATCTTGTTACAGTGCCATGCTAAATATTCATACCCCCTTTTAAAAAAATGTCCACACTGCAACAGTAAATTATGAAGAATTTAACTAGAAGTTTATATGAAGAACCAGGGAGTTCAAAGTCTACTGTCCCGTCTTGACTTGATCAAATTGCTGAATTTCCCATTAAACTGGTTTTCTTTCAGCATCGTCATGCATTTAGTGCCCATTAAGGCCAATTAGCTTTAGCAGCATCATGGTATCCCACATCACGATGCTGCTACCAATTTTTTCTAAAGGCCAAATACTGTTAGATTGCCACAACATAGAGCAATTAGCATAGAGGCCAAAAGTGGGTGATAGAATTCCGCAAACTGGGCTTCTTTTGGATTTCTCTATAAAAATGTCTCTTATTTTCCTTGTTACCCTGCAGGAAAGGCCAGACTTATGGAGCATATGAATGTAGTTGACCTGTTGAAAACCTTCCTCCCCCTGATCTGTCCATCTTAACATCTCCTCCAGTTACCATGATACCATTGCCATCTTTATTGAGTAATGCTCTCCTCACCCTTGATGCATTTTGATGTTTTTTATTTTATTTGAATGCCATGTACTATTTTCCTTTTGCTTCAAATTTGCACGCCACTTTAAGTTGGTCTGTCATATGAAGTTCCAATAAAACAACACTCAATATCTGTGATTGCAATGCTAAAATGAGAAAAAGTCAAGGGAAAAATATTTTTCCTAGATGTTCTATATTTGTAAGTCTTGTGTGTATTACCTGAGTAAACAACAACTCTGTTTGTGCATTTTGTTCAGCCTTCCTTTTTAGGCATCCTGGATCCTGTTGCAGGAATGGATGTAGGGAGCCCTCCCCAGACTGATGGATGTGAAGTCAAGGCAGGAGTGTTACTAATATATCATGAGATTTCCAAATCTTCTAGAGCGAATCACTAAAACTTGTCTTTCCTCACCTCAGTACCAGCTTGCATATAGCAGTCACCAGGCCTGCTCTTCTTCCTCTCCCTCTTCTCTACCTTCACACTCAGCTCTAGCTGCTCTCGCTGCTCATGCTGGTGTTGCTGCTCTTTCTCAGTTCTCCAGGGAGTCCCACACTGTAGGGGTGAGGAAGAAGACATGGGCAAACTGGGACTTGGAGTTCCTGAGGCGGTGCTGGCGGGATCCAAGAACACAGTGCTGCCGAGGCTGCACTGTTCACCTGCCAAACTGATAGACGTAGCATTTGCGAATGCTTCTGGGACAGCATTCAGAGTTTCATTTGAATCTCTGTTAGGACCGTCACTGAGGATCCCGGTAGGAATTCCCCTGTCTTGGATGTACAGCTGTTGGTTTGGGCTGCTGCCGGGCGAGTTCAGTCCAAAGCCAGGGCTGGAGCCAGGGCTCTGACAGGGTGGCAGTGGGGCACAGGAAATGAGGGGCTCCAGGCTGGTGCCCAGCTTACAAAGGGGAGCAGGGTTGGGGCAGGCATGCTGCAGCTGGAAGGGACGAAGACGCAGTAACAAGGTTGGCTTCGTTCCAGAGACGGGGAGCCCACGCTTACGCAGGTGCTGCCTTAACTCAGATACCTAGAGGGTTCAGAGAACGGGATGAGCCATATAATTTATTAATATTATTTTTAACTTTTTAAAAGGTTTAATGCACAAATATATGGGGGTTTTTTTTACCGTTAAATCAACAAGATTTGATGGAAGAAGCTCTGGTTTGGATGCAGGATTTGTGTCTGTTGTAGTTTGGCTTGTTGCCACGGGAACGGGTTGGAGATTGAGCGATGTGGCTCCGCAAGGCTTCACGAGATCATTGTGATCCCCACTGCAGCAATGAGAGAATTAACTCAGCTAAAATGTTGAAATCAGTTATGAAGATATTTTTTTGCACATCTACAGATGTCCATTAATGATGTTCAATTATATTTCTTGTATCTTCTGGAAAAGTTTAAAATTCACCTTAACATTTTTTTTCTCTGTAAGAATTAAAATGATAATAATTGAAAACAGAGAATATACGCTTTTTTTTAGACATTATCTGCCCCCTTGTGATGTAGTAAGTTACAGTAAATCTGCATTTTTGATGTAGGAGGCAAGCGTTCAAGACATGATTAAGCAAGAAAGCATCAGTTGTAAAAACTCTGCAGAGTCTGTGCAAATTGCTATGGCTTGCTTGGCACAAAGCAGCCCAAATGACTTGCTGACATTTATCGTTTTGTTTTTTGTTTTTTTTTATCTAAAACTTTTGATTTAAAACATTTTTATCTAAAACTTCATCTAAACCTTTAATATATGCCTTTATTTGTTGAATTGGCATCTTTCTATCTATCTATCTATCTATCTATCTTTTATATATATATATATATATATATATATATATATATATATATATATATATATATATATATAAGATTTTTAAGATCCTTTTAAGAAAATAGTAATTCATTAATTCATAAGAGTCGAGAGTATTTATGCCCATAAATCTTTAGCTACAGCAAATATGAAACTACTAAACACAGCTTTAAGTATCTGGATACTAATTGGATTAAGGGTTCAAAATGGAAGTAATAGAAATAAAATTGCAGGGCATCGATGCAAAATGGTTTTATGATTGATTAAAGGGTGAACTTGCACCTCATCAACACTGTTTGTTTACCTCGGTACCACTGTAACCTGCTGTTGTGGTTGTAGTCGTTGCTGCTGTTGCTGTTGACTCTGCAGAATTTGAAGCTGGAGGAAGACCTGTTGTTGTTTCAGGAGATGGGAGTAGGCAGGATCTAAAGGCTGGGTAGGAGCAGGGCTGCTTTGTTTAGCTCCTCCTGCTGGAAAACGTGGTGGTAAAATAACCTGCTTTCGCAAAAGGAGGGGATATATATATAAATGGAGAAAAGCATAGTATAACAGTAGTACCTCCAGTCCCAGATGCTCCCTTCTGGTCTGGAGGAATGTACTGATGATACTTGAGTTTCTTCATCTTGGGTTTGATGTCCCTCGGTTTCCGTGGGCGGGTAAGGTGGTTGAAGTTTAGGGAAGGGGGCAAAGACGAGGAGCTAATTGGGCTGGTAGGCTGAGCTGTCTGAAAACACAAACATTCCCCACATTTCTGTAAGATGTAACCATGCTGTGGTCAAAGGGAATACTAAATAGAACAGGGCATGCAGTGTTTCATTTGAAATGTCAGCTCATTGTACAATGTTTGACATGTTTGGCCCCTGTTAAGGTTACATTCCTTACAGATATGCGTAAATGCCCTGCAAATCTCTTGATGACACTTTGCACTGTCTCTGACATGCACCACCGGGGTTTATATGTGAATATGTTAACCTACATGGAAAACACTCAGCTCCCCCAGAAGTACAAATTGACAGTAATGAATGCAGAACAGCTTACAGCAGAGCCTTGTTTTTGAAAAAAAAAAAAAAGAGAAAAACAACATGGGATTGACCGCCCTGTTATGTTAAAGACCTCCACAGGGCTCTTTTGCCTTTTGCTGTACACCTGCCGTGAACACCAACAGTAAATGGGAATGAATGTATGGTAACTACCAAACATAGACTTACGATTATTAGCTCTGCCAAAGAGGTCATGTTTTCAGCACCGTTTAGGATTACTTGAAAATACATAGATGGATTTTAATACAGTTTTTACCAGAAGTGCGCCTCATGCCATGGAAAAATCCATTCATTTTCGGTGGTGATCAAGATCAAATCTGAATACAGGGATTTCTTAAAGTATTCTTAAATGTTATTTGGTAGAACAAGCAGTTCCCCACGAAAACAGAGGGTAGCAGCAGTGATTATTGACAGCTCCAGCATCAGGCTCAGAGAGTCTCGTGGTGTTATACTAAAGACAAAAATACAAAGAAAAAAAAAAACAAAAAAAAAGAAAGAGGAGCCATACCTCGCTCAAAGTCTCCATCTGCTGATCCAAAAAAAAAGAAAACAGGGTGCTGAGCGAATGAAGAAGGTACTGAACAGCCACCAGTGCCTTACTTATTGACTTTTAGAAAGATTTTAAGGAAATGTTTACCAATGCCAAGGAACAATTCAATATTTGTTGCTTGGTCAATGTCTGCACTCTCAGAGTACTTTTCTAGATTATTTATATGTTATTCTTTATTCTATCCTCAAGATTAATTGGGAATAAATACAACTAGAAAGATAACACAAATAAAACCACAAAAAAAAAATCGTTAGAGTGGATCAGAAAGCAACGGATTACCTTTGGCAGCAGGGGTGCAGTCTGAGAGGTTAGAAACATCCCATTTGGTCTTCCAGTTGGTGCCGAAGAGTTTGATTCACCCAGCGTCACACTCAGAGGTTGTCTGATCCCAGAGGCTGCCGGAAGCAACGTCAAACCAGACTGAAAGAATAAAAATATAATCATTTGAATACAAAGACATTAAGTGACATTAAGGAAGAAAAAAAACACTGCCTATTACATCTTCACTTACAAAACAAATAAAACATACTTTTGTATATTGTGTGTGTATTGTAATAAAGACTTAGACCTAATCCCATCATCTGTGGCTCTCCTATTCCTCATTTACTTGATGCGTAACTGATTTAGTACTTGAAATATTTCAATGACAAATTGGAAACTTCATTAGGAAGCCCATGCCTTGTCACTTTTACTCATTCTTTGTATGTCAAAATTTAAATGTATGACTTCAGTGGTATGATGTGTAAACTTTTCACCTTTGATGCTAAGTACGAAGGAATAAAAATTATTTGCAAACCATTTCCAACTAAAAAAAAAATCTTTTTATTTTAAATTTCATGATATTTTTTACTGAATTCAATATACTGGATATAGTTCTAAAAAAAAGACATGATTGTAGAACTAATCTTACAATATATCTGAAGTATGCCACATATAGGTGGAACTGCAAAGTGCTAAAAATCCTATATTTGCAGTGATATTCCAGGAAGACAACGATTAATGCATAATATGGTAGATTATCATAAACATCAGTATGTGTTCATGTAGAAAACTCAAGTGAAAAAAGAAGAGCAAATAAGTCTCATCTGTAAAGCTTGAGGCAGAAATACTATACAATATTTTAATGTATCTTTTAGGGAAGCTCTGAAATGATGAACAGAAGACACTGACCTCGTTTAAAACTACATGTTAATGATGATTGCTGTAAGGTTGGATATTTAAAAGATAAATTTTTGATCGTTGTTTTTCAATACTGATAAATCAACAAATAAAGATTCAAAGGAATGGGAACCTTGCTGAGCAGACTTTCACAATTTTGACTCTGAGAATTATAAATATGCTACGTTTAAATATATTTGCATTACTCATTTTAAGTGGAAGTGCAAACTCTACCGCTTGGTTTCCATCTGTCCCTGAAATATCTCTGGTTTTAAAAGGTTTAAACCCAGTGCCCCCTGCCTATAGAGTTTTGACACCTAACCTCTCTGAAATGCATAGTAAAGGGCCACGGGTAAGGTGAAACGGGGTCAAATGATCTCTTTTCTCAAGTCTCTTTTCTGAGCCATATAAAATTGTCTCCTAACAATGTTGGGATAAAGGTTCTATGATGTATGTTCTATGTAAGCCATCTTGCATTCTAATAAATATTAGAGTAGTGATGTATCAAAACAAGTAAAACTTGGATAAATGTTATTGCAGTTACGGTGAGGTATAGTTTTATATATATGGGGCAGTTGAAATTTGGAACATCTATGTAAAGTTTTCAACCTTATCAGAACATTGTTAGCAGTCTAGCTGCTATGTTAAGTATCAGATGCATAGAAAGTTAATGCTAGATTATTATTAATTTAAAGTTTGCAGTTTACTAACAGTTGTGTTAAACAGACTCTTTTGCTTTTTTTAATACCTGTGCATGACTGGGATTATCATTAAGGGTCAGTCCCACAGCTGAGCAGTCACTTAGTGGTTGGTCAACTGGGAGCCCAGGGAGTGAGGAAATAAATGGCGTTTGGAGAGTGCCATGTTGCTCCGTGTTTAAAGAAGAAAGGGAGGACGAGATATCCTCTTCGAAGACATCAGTGGGGAACGAGGAGGTACCTGAGGAAATAACCGGTCAAAGGAAGCAAGATCCAAAAAAGAAAGCAAGGGGATTGGGTAAGGATATTTTGACAAATATGTTGGTATGTGTGAGTGCATGTGGGGGAATATTTGTTTACCATTCTCCAGGGGCAGCGTATGCTCAAGCTGTTGCTCTGCAGCCGCTGGAGGTTGCTGGATCCTCTCAGTGAGGTTCTGTGAGGGTCGAGCCTTCCTCTGCCTGTGGGCTCCACATACAGTCCTCTCTACGGGTGGAAGACAGAAGGAGGAATGTTGCAGATAAAGAGAGAGAAAAGCACAGATGGGAGATCAGTACAGAGAGAGAGAGAAGATTGAAGAAAGGGAAGCAACAGGCCTAGAGAACATATGTGATGTGAGTGTGCAGAACAGCTTCGCCACAGGCACTAAGTCCCAGCTCAAACCAGCAGAGGCATCAGGAAATAGTAAACACTTTTTCCCAGAGGGAAATATGTCACCTTGAACATGTGCACACGTCTAAAGTGAACACGTGTTAAATCTTTTAAAGAAATTTACTCTTTTTTTTTTTTCTTCTTCAAACCCTGTTAATATAATAATATAATTCTAGATCAAATGGAAGGTTATGGGGTTTAGAAATGAAGCAGATGCGAGTTTAGAAGAGAAAAAGATGTCGGTAACGGATGGAAATAATAATTCTGGATGTCAGATTGGTGTGCTTTTTATATGCTGTCAGTCGCTCAATTTGTGGCTTCTCATAAACATTACATTAGGCAAAAAGATCAAATTTTTGCTTCACAGATAATGAAGCTGACACTTTCTCAGCATCTACAACACAGACAGAGATACAGTGTACCAAGAGGTCAAATCTGTTAAAGTACTCAAAGCTGCAGGCGTAGACAATAAAGCATGAAGCAGACAACATCATTGCCTTTGGCTTGGCATCACCTTGTGCAGTTTCAGTGCTCAGACCACCAGGGGGCATTTTCTGAGTGGCACCATCCTCAGTTTGACGCTGCATCAGGAAACGTTTGGTCAGTCATTTAGATGAGCAATCAATAAAACACTTTTATTACCCTGCTTTTTATCTTCAAAAGAAGATCAAATACTTTTTCTTTCATTTGCTTTAGTTCAATTTTTCACAATCTGAATATTTGCAAATAAATACATCTTTCTATATACTTATATTCTCACACATACAGTCAACATCAGAGGTCATGTGCTTTAAAAGACGAAACATGTTATATGGTGCAACTTACTTGAGCTTCACTTTGTTTTTTCTCTGGTTTTTGATGATTGGAGGCAGATTTCAACCCTGTGACATACACACATAAGAATGGCATGACAGAATATAAAAAAAAAAACATTTTTTAAAATGTGTAATGTTTAAATAAAAAATAATCTATATAGCATGGATCTTAACTGTGATGCCTGAAGCAAATTGCATAGCCTGTTCACTCAGTATTGCCATTTTCCTTATTTCAGAATTTCTAAATGCATTTAGATATTGAATGTACTGTTAGACCACCTAAAACAGATTAATCTCTAACACTGCAAGTTTACAAATCTGGTGACAGGTAGATTTTCACGTTTTTTCTATAAGAAAGTAACTATTTATGTTTGTTTTTTTAACTTTGGTTTTAGAGGTGGGGATAAAGAAATGATTTGATCCTAAACCTAAACTTTTTTTTGTTGTTGACAGCACCCTTTACATATATCTATAAGCATGAATAAAAAAAAGCCAATGAAAGAATTATTCTTTTATTGCAGTAGCAAAATCTTTAACTGAAAAAATGTTTAATTACGAGTCAGAAAGAATGCAACATGAAAAAATAATATTTTTTTGCCAAAATGGACTAGTTGACTCTGCTAAAAAAGGGGGACAAAATTATTATCATGGAAGAAATTTCTTTATTTTTACTTTGATTTAGATTTTTAAGTTGATCAAAGGTTTTAAAACCTTTTATAGGTATTTCCTTTCTTCGCATTTCCTAGGATGAATTCAACTTCAAACATAAGCCAATTTCTCTAAGCCACATTTTAAAATGACAAAGAGAAGGTATCATGACATTTAGGTAACGTAAAAATGCCTTAATTTGTAGTAGACAGCAAATGACATAGAGACCTCACCACCACCACCTCCCTGGACATTGTCATATCTTCTGTTAGAAAACTTATATTAAAAGGAATTGTTATGAGCAAGGCTGGGTTATGTTTATTTTTTAAGACAGGAGATAACAATGTCTTAAGCTCCCTGGTAGATGACTGCAGTTCAGGGTGAAAACTTTGTGTCATCAAGTGTCCATAACATTAGACACCTTTTTGGTATTTTAACATCAGAAGTGCAAATGTGTAGAGTTTGCTAAGCACTAACCGGTTTTTTTACTGGGACTTTGGGCTTTCTCAGATGAAGGTAAGATTGAACTGTTCTGCAAAAATTACCTGGCTGTTTTCATGTAAAAGAAAAATGGATGAGCATGTGGAAAAGTACTCCATTCTTAAGTACAGTGGCTGCGATATGATGCTGTGGGCCTACACTGCAAAAACGATCTAGAAATAAGTCAAAATGACTTAAATAAAGGGCATTTAACCTTAATTTGAGCAGAAAAATAAGAGGATTTGCCAATGGAATGAGGATTTTTACTCTAAGGGCCGGATTTATCAAGATCCAATTTTGCGTGCAGTAATTTGCGCTCGCAAACTGGAATTTTGCGCGAGGGGCTGAACCATGGTTTGCGGGTGATTTAACAAGAGCGATTGCGTAACTGGTGGCAGGTGCAAAACTGTTGGAGACACCCTATTTAAATAATGGTTTTGTGCGTTTGGTGGTTTGCGGCATGGCGAGTTTGGACAGCAGAAAGCGCAAAAGGAAATTCGACCCTATGGAAATTGAGGTGTTGGTGGATGAAGCCAACAAACATTTAGGTGAGCTACAGCAAAGAAGTGTGACTGTCACACAGAGGAATGCTATATGTGAACAAATCTGTAATAAAGTAAACGCTGTTGGTGAAACCTTGCGAACAGTGGATGAAGTAAAAAGAAGATACCAGGATATTAGAAGGCGAACCAAAGAAAAACTGGCATATAACAAAACATCTGCGAACAAAACAGGAGGGGGCACAGTAGATGAGATGCCTCTGACCAGCATTGAGGAACAAGTACAGCCGACGCTCTGTGAGGAGCAAATCACTGGAATTGCAGCTCCAAAATGGCAATGCTGGATAAACGATATGTTTTGATTGTTTCCTCGTTCATTCCAAAAATAATCACACGGAGTGAAAAAATGCGTTCTCTGCGTCTCCTTGCTTCATTTCCATGTCTCCTTCTTGCGGCAATAACCGCTGCCATGTGTGCGCATTGTGCAATTACGCATACAGACCATTTGCACCTTCTTTTGAAACGTGTTAAATATAGAGTCAGATACCGTTAGCAAAATTGCTTTCAGATTTGATAAATCACTTTGCGAGTGCTAAATTAATATATTTACATGTTATCCTCCCACAAGACGCACTTTTGCGTGTAAACGCCCCATATTGCATATTCACTGCAGAAAAAGTACTAAATGGATAAGAGACGCTATTTAGCACGTTTTAAAGACCAAATCCTTTTAGCACGCTGTTGATAGATCAGTTTGTACATTTTTTAGCGTGCGCAGTGAAATAGCTCACGTTTTTATACATGCAAACCTTTGATAGATCCGGCCCTAAGAATAAGGAAATTAGATGATATACACTTGAAATAAGACAATGAAACAGGGTTTTTCTTATTTTAAATATAAATTTTCTTGTTCCAATGGCAAATAGTTTCACTTACCTCCTCAATTCAACAAAAATCGCACTTGTTTTAGGAAAAAATGACTTATCTAGAATAAGATTTTTTTCCAGTGTACTTCCTTTTCTAAGAGACTTGTTTGCATTTTTCAGTATGAGGTTTTCCTTCTGCAGTGAAAACGGTAAAATAAATGTACCACAATATCTTTCATGTTATTGTTGCCATCTTTTATTCATCCTAAAAAAATCTTGGTACATCAAAACCCATTGTGTCTAAAAGTTTTACTTTTTCCACCAAAGGTTAATATGAAAAAAGGGAATGAGATATGCATCATCTTTTAATTTAAAAAGGTGGTTTTGCCATGGTTAATAACAAATGCAATTTGCAGTCAGAGCAGAGTGCTCAGTCAAAGGTTAATAATGCAAGCTAACCTGGGTCTGCATTGATTTCACTCAGCCTTCGGTTCTGAATCCTCAGCTGCAGGACTGAAACACAAACAGATGATGAGCTCTGGTGAAAGAAAGAAAGGTAAGGAAACAGAAATACAGCCAAAGAAAAACACAAGTGCAAGTTAATCAATCTAAGGCGGTTTACAAACAGTTCAATAATACATCCTTGTAAATAATTTAGCCCATGTCTTCGCAGTGCTTGTAGAAAGAGTATTTATTCTTTAATGCTTTTCATATGAACACATTCACAAACAGGTGAAGCAGGGTAGAGCTGGGCCTGTGGTAAACTTTGGTGTATACTGAGAGCCGAGGGACCTGAGAAAGCAGGTGGGGAGGGGGTGGAGGTTTCTATTTATCCCTCTGTAAATCTATTTCTGTTGGTCCCATCCCCCCTTCAGCTGTCCCACTCTCTTCACAAGCCTCTAATACATCCTGTCCTGCTCACGTCATGCTCATGTGTGTTGCTAACCACAATCTTCCTGATTTCCTGTCTCTCAGTTTTACAAAGTGTAAAAACCTGAAATAAATTGTTTTAAACATGTCATCCGTTTGTCATTTGAATGATAGATGCCATTAAGAGATCTAACTCAGTCTCTAACCCTTTAAAATTAGGTGAAGATAAAAGATCCAAAGTGGAAATTGTGTTTCTGTTAAGTTCTCAGATGCCGCTTTTTTCTCCTGGGAAAACTAAAGAATGAACATATACTGCTAATTTTGATGTGAGGAAAGTCTACTAGTAAGCATTCACCAAAAACATCAATATTCCCAATGCACAATGACAATGCTTTCTGTGGAGACATTTACTGGAGACAGCTCATGTATGTAGAGGCATGATTGTGAGCAAAGCAGCTGCCCTTAAGAATCCTTTTTTCCAGCAGCTGTTTGAACACCTAGGGGACAGTCATTTTTTTCGCCTTTCTATTTTGCAGCCATTCATGACAGCTGCCTGGGAATTCAGCAGCGGCTACAAGTTTTAGGAAATGCAGCATGAAAATATGCAGTGATGGAGCGCGTGTTTGTGACAGAGTGCTTGTTAAATCCTAAAAGCCTGTCATACAAAAAGCTTCATTTAAAGTGTTATTACACTAAAATGTTGTGGTATATAGTTTCCATATATATATATATATATATATATATATATATATATATATATATATATATATATATATATATATATATATATATATATATATATATATATATATATATATATATATAAAAAGCAAGAATAATTTTCTCCATTTTTCACCTCTATGCTATACACCTGCATGCTTTGGGTGTACAGTATAGCTCTTGTTCACTATTTTTTAATAAAACAGCAACTGCAGTAAAAACAAACTTTTTTTTCCATGTGCCACTCTAATAACAGAAATTTTTAAAGCAATTGTACAGAAGGACGTTGACTTGGGTTTGTTTAGCTCAATCTTTAAGAAATCAATAAATATGTATGCATGGTAATTGCATAACCCTATTTTTATTCAGAAGCTACAATATATAATATTAATAATTTAATATATATAAGTTTCATATAAGCAATGTTAACATTAGGGTACCGTAAAAGGTAAATATCCAAAAAGAAACTTAGAATGTTTCTTTCCAACCTCCACTTTCAAATCCAAGATTGCTGCTTTGGATATAAAACAGCAGCAACCTTTCGGTAACAAGATGTTCCATTTGTTTTCACCTTGAATTGCCAGATCACTAAACAATATTAAGTAAAACCCACAGTTTTCTAAACTTATACCAAAAACACAGTTGTATTTGGTATAATGTAAGTCTCGAATAATTTCTTAGGTAGAACACAGCATACATGTCCATCAGGACTCCTTCATGTTTTTCTGTCTTGCTTTAAGTTTGTAGAAGAGGTTTTATAGACTTTCACAACTGCAAGTAGTTTTATAAGCATGCTTAAACTTATTTTTTGAACTGCTGGTGCTTTGTGGCTCTACATTACAGTTATTTGTATCCACCTTAGTGCCAGCCTCTTCCCTCTGCATGACTACATTCAGCACATATATCACCTATTACACTTGTACATTTCTGGGGGCACAATATGAGTATTTTTAAACTGTATTGTTCCAGCTTTGTCTGTGCATTTACATCGAACCACTGCTAGCTCAATTATAATGTGAATAGTTTTGCCTTTTAAAATGGGAGTTGATGTAAACAATCCACTGATCATATTGCTAAAAACTTAAGATATTCCATACACCTGTTAGACTACAGTAATGATCAAGCCACTTTATAATTCGGCTAAGAGAAAGTCTGTCAGGTCCAGTTTGCTCTATGCTTTTAGCAATTTTGTGTGTTTTTTATTCATCTGGGATTAAATAAGTATCCTCATTGTTTCTGTATCCAATACTGGCTTTATTCTTTTGTTTTTGGGGGGGGTTTGTCAGGTTTAGTGGCAGCAGATGGCATATACTAAGCTTGATAATCAAGCAGGATGTTTCTTCCTGTTAAAAGGTAGTTGTTCCTCTCCACTCTTGCCTCATGCTTCCTGGGTATTCTCATCTTTGGGATCACTACTAATGACCTGTCATTGACCTGATGTAATCTGCTGGGATTCCTTAAATACACATTTTTACTGGCAGTAAATGATTTATTGCATATACATGTACTTGATCACATATACCTGTACATGTGATATAGTCTGTATAGACTATATTATTTTAGTGGATTTTATTTTTAAAAAATAGCTAAACCTAAAAAAAAAAACAGGCCTGAATAGTTGTTTTTGATCTCAAAACCCACTATGGCTGCCTTGCTTCTGTAAATTTGTTGCCACCTTGTTAATTTATTTCTCATCAAATGAAAATCTTAAATTGTATCTTGCTATAGTATTTGAATGCAAAGTAGAGAAAAACAAAACATATTGATACAGCTTTTTATTGCAAACAGAGGTCCAGAGGATCCAAATTACAAATTTCAACTTTATAGAAAATGCACATTTGCTGCTACAACTCAGATCGAGCCATAGCAAAGACCAAGCATCTCAAACAGGAAATGTTGACATAGGAATTGAATAAGCCTCCATTCCCTACCAGGTTGCACACATGCAACAAACACACTGCACCGACCGTGTAAAGTCAGCCTTAGGGAGAGACCTGTCACTTGAAAATCCCAGGTTGAATTGACAGTTGTAAGATATTCTATTCCTCCCTGTCCAACCAATTCTTCTGCACAAGTGCTCAGAGGAAATCAACGTGAAATTCTGTGGTGCAGTGAAAATTATCCTGCTAAGGTTTACAACATATAATTCTATATGAAGCCAACAATTATGCTATTGACCCCTAAATTTAAAGTTATATTCATGAAAAGAATTCTGGAGGGACTTGAGTTTTTTTCTGAATGAAAAAATAGTGAACCCTTTTTTAACTTTTTTTTTTAAATGCTCACATCTTGGACAGGCCGGGTTTGGAAACTAAATGAGGTAATGAACATCACTCAATGAACATCTCTCATAGCACAATTATATTGTTTTGCAAGCTCTGAATTGGTTTGCAAGCTGTTTTTGATCAAGTCAATTAGACAAAATTGTTTTTTCTCCTTATTAATCTTTATGTAAATGCAATGATGCAGCTGTTTTTTAAATCCAGATTTTTCCCTGAGGATTTCTTTCCACTCCTGGCCTATATCACAATGAATGAAGCATCTAACTCTCTGCTAAGAGAACAAAAAGACCAAACTGCTGTGCAGGTTCATAATTCATGAGCACTGCATGTGTTTTCTTTCATGTGGATTGCGTGTGCAAATATTTCATACAGGTTTTCTTCCATGTTCATGGATCTTTCCACATCATTCAATTCTAAACCAAAACAACATTTGCTGAATCCATGCAGCTTTTAGCGTGGTTTGGTTACTTTTTTTAAACCAACCTTCAGTCATTTTGAGATTTCAGTCACCATGAGATTTTAAACCCTGCTGTACCTTATCTTAGTTTTAACTACTTAAGTGAGTAGAGAAGTTAATTCTGTCTTAGATTTTGGTTTAATGATTACTTTGGTATTTAAACGTGAGTAAAAGCAAATAAACCCACGTTTAATATCATCATAGGGCAGCTGAAATAAGCACTTTACATTTACATATAAAATACATAAACAAAAGTACATATCTTTGAAGTTAAAGGAAAATGGTACGTGGCAACTGAATTGTTAAATAAACAAAAACCTGCCACCCGCAGCTTCTATATTAATTAAGTTCCCCTCACTCATAAATGTGTTTTAAGTGCAATTATTACAGCTTGTTTTTAGGTATATTTTGGTATCCGGGGTGGGGTTACTGGTTTGCGCATGTGGAAACCGACTTTTTGTTTTCCATTTCTTGTATAACAGTTAGATATTAAATATTACCCGTGATTTTATAGTTGCACTTGCACATTTAAATGTGTATATTGGATCTTGCTCTGGCTTCATATGAAATTTAGTCCATTCTTGAGTCATTTGCAGCTTTTGACATGCTTTAATTCATTATAGCCCTGTATTTAGCTCCATGAATATTTCTGTAAAGTCTCTGCATATTCCTTTTATTTACTGAAGTAAAGCACACCGGCAACATGATGCTCCCACCACCATGTTTCACAATAAGTAAACTTTTTAGGGGTGTACGTATAATGCATGTATTCCAGCACAGAGTATGCAGAAAGATCTAAACGTTAAATCTGGTTATATATAGCCAAAGCAACCTTCTTCCACTTTATCCACCCTCTATAGCTTGTAGATTTTATTCAAACATCATTCTTATGGATTTTTATCAGTAATAGCTTATACTCCTTTTCCATAAGTTTGAATTTGTGATATTTTCTCTTTTTGATTTATTGATTTTAAACATTTAGATGTTTCCTGATGTTCTTTAAACCTTGAGGCTTTGAAGAGCTGGATTTATGCAAAAGTAAACTGGTTGATGAAAAGCTGCTTCCAACTGATGAACTTCCTTATTTTATTTAAACTGATTTAAAGATGCAATTGATTTAATGCTGTGAACCTGTTCTTCTACACATTTAACCAGCATGATTAACATCTGCTTGATTCTCACCTGATCGGAACTTGTTCCTGATGAGAAGCGACCTCTCGGAGGCCAGGAGTGTCATGCTGGAGTACAGCAAAGGAAGTGAAGCCGAAGGAAAGAGGAAGTTCCTGGTAACCGGTCTGCCACGTGGAATGGGCTTCTATCCTTCTGTCTCTCACTAATCAGAGCCAGAAAAGTAAGGGAAATGAGAAATGCTTGTTATTCCGCTGATATAAAATATATTGATAGAAGCACACACAGACACAGCAGAGATAGAAATTAAGATATCTTAGACCCACAAGTTGACTGAACTCTATGCAAGCAGCTCTGGAAGCAGCAAGCGTCCCTGCAGACAACCTGTCATAATCCCACTGAGTGTCACTGAGGCCTACCCACAGACAGACAGAGACAGAGCTAACAACACACAAAATTAAACAGACAAGAGGCAAAGCTATGAGCCAGGAAGAAGAAGAGGACAGCCAAGCCTGGATGAGTGACGGAGACAGAAAGCCCTGCAGATCATGAGACATCAGGGCTCTGAGGAGCCTGATTGTGATGGACAAACATGAAGTCACAACACCTACAGCACGCCACCACATACCTACACACTGACAGCAGCTTGTTTGCTCAAAGAAGAAGGGCCAACTAAAACATAGCGGGCTGAAAATCTACATCAACCACATCAGTGCGCGCACACACACACACACAAAACCTATTAACAATATTGATCCGAAATAGCCGGCAGCAGAACACCCAAAGGAAGCCTGTTTGAGTGTACAAACACACACACACATGCTGTGGATAAGCTGTTGTGATGCATACTAATTCAGCCGGCGGTGCCTCTCCTGGTCCCTATTTCCATAAATACACACCAACTTTGCTTATTTATGACACAAAGGGTCCAAAATGAGGCCACTCGCTCATTACTGCTATCAAGCAGTAAGAAGTTGATTGAGATTTCATGTCTTGCAGGGGCAAGGCTTCACTGCAGGGCACCGAGGTACAAGAAGGAGCTGCAAACTCTAAGAGAATAAAAGCAAGGGAATGAAAGAGAATACTTACAGGAAGAGGGAGAATTGAGTCTCTCGGGGGAAATTGGAGTGGATTTAAGATTAAATTGAGAGAGATGCGAGTCGTAGGGAAGAGAGAGAACTTGGTAGTGCGCTTAATGACACTTTCTCTCTTTCATGTTCTTTTCATGTCTTTTTTCGTCCCCTTTCCACACTTGAGTTCTTTGTCCTGAAGGTGCAGAAGCGAGGAGAAGGTTCTGTGGTTTCTCTATCCCCTCACTCTGTAAACTTCTCTCTCTCTCTCTCTCTCTCTCTCTGCCTTGTCCACCCCTAAAGCATCCCAGATTCTTGGTGCCAACTGTGAGGGACTGTCAAACCTCCCCCCCACCCCCACTTTATGACCCTCACCCTCCTCCCGCAAAGCCAGTCGCCCTCCCTCGACACCTGCTGACTGCTTGACAGGGGCTCAAAGACAACCGAGCTGCTCTCATGTTTGTACTTGACTTTGACAGGAGCAGAAACTCAGACAAAAATTAGTGCAGTTCCTTAATGCAAGGAGCTGAAATGGCATACAATGTGATGGATAGGAAAGCGAAACCAGTATAAGGAGACGGTTTATTACACAGCAACAGGAGAAGCCCAGGAGTGGCTTGGAATCACATCAAATTATGTGCTGCAGCAGGACTGCAGGCTCATATGCTCCTGTCAAGATACCTTTGGGTCAACCGGTAAAGTGATTTAGTAGTGTGTGTACATGTGAGTGTGTGTTTGGCACCACAGAAAGTCACAGATCAGTAAGTCAGCACACTTTAGAGCCTCTATCTGCACCCACGGCCAGGCAAAATCACCTGAGGTTCACCTACAGTGTTCAAGCCAACCTGCGGGAACCAGCGGGGGAGGGTTTGCCTGTGTGTCAACCCTCGCACTTTTACATGTGTTACTGTAGGCTGTCAGAGGGAGGGGTGGAAAAGTGGGGTAAGTGGGTCCGTAGCTAGAGCACCTGTTCCTCCAGTTTGATAGACAAGCTGATGTGTGTGCTGGTTCAGCAGGTCACAGAAAAGAGAGGAGGGAGATGAAGAGGGCGACAGAGAGAGGACGGAGAGGTGGAGAGGAAAAAGTACCATGCTGGTTGGTCAGGAGAGGCAGTCCTGATAGAGAGGAAAAAGGCCTTAGATCCATTTAGTTCGATGTAGAGGTCCACTAAACAGAGAAAGCAGAACAGTGATAAAATACCTTGTAAAAGTGTTCATATTCCTTGTACTTATTCACATTTTGTTCTATAAAAACAAAAACCTGCATTGGCTAATATTGTAGAACAACATCAAGTAAGAGATCATTGTAAAATGTCAGAATGCGAGTTCCAACTGTGTTTGCAAAACTAGAGAGTGAGGTCAACATTTGTATTCAGCCCTTTACCTGGATATATCTAAATAAAATCCATCCATCCATTAACTTATTTGATGTCAGGGTTGCATTAGGAAAGAGGCAACGTGCTGAATAGGTTGCATGCACAGTTTTGTACTGTGGAGAAAAAAAAAAAAGGTTGTGTGCCCTGAGAGAATTAAATAATGTACTGAAGGTAAATGAAACCCCCCCCCATTCTTGCTATGCTGGAACAATATTAATATCCCTCCTTGGTCAGATAATAACAAAGCTGCTTTCTGATCTTCGGTTTACACACATTCCTACAATAATCTATAGCCGTTGCTAGCATTATGCTGGCGGGATATTTTCAGCAGGGACAAGGAGGTTGGTTAGTGTGAATGGGAACATGCTAAGAAGAACCTGCAAGAAAACATGCTAGAGGTTGTTAAAGACTCTAGCTTAAGGTGGAGTCTGACCTTCCATCAAGACAAAAACACTGTGCTGAGATGGTAGAGATTCTCCTCTGGAAGATTAGTATTTCTACTGATCATGCTAGAATGACATAAATGTGGTATATTTTCCAAGGTTACTAAATAAATGAAAACAAGCTGTTCAGTTGTGTTTCTCCTTCGACATAATAATTTCCCTCTACTTTGATGAGAATTTGTCAAACACATAATATCACAATAGATAAATTTAAGTTTCCTTTATCATCTGAAAAGAAATAATAAATCAGTTAAAGGGGTGTTAATACTTTTGCAAAGCACTTCAGCTCTGCATACTCCAATTAAGGTTGCTATGAAACAACTAATGAAGCAGAAACTGAATGGGAGCCTCGCTTTAATAAATCTCTCTAGATAAAACCACTCTTTCAGGTGCCATCCACCCACCCTGTCTTTGTTAGTCTGTAAACCTTCTCCTCTCATGCTCTGAGAGGGCATTTGTCAAACACTCTCATGGACGAAAGACATTAATAACACAGACTGCACAGGATGAGAGACACATTATTGTTAGAAAGGTGATGTAATCACTTTTCCTCTCTGGTTCTCCACCCCAGCTATGCCCTCTCCTCTGCAGCCGGGACTCCCTTTCTGATTAGCACCTGTTACCCTCCTTCTTTCTCTCCCTCCCATCCCTCCCACATGAAAACAGACATGCACACCGATGCACGCTCAGGCACCATGGTGTTAATCCTGCACTGAGTCCATCGAGGAGGAAGACTGGCATGGAGTTAATGTATTCCCTCTGAAGTATCAAATTTCTATCTGTGATTCTGGGCTCTATACGTGATGAGGATGAGAAAAAAATTGGACCTTTGGGTGATCGAATAGTTTAAGATATGCAGAATCAGCTTGTTTTATATTTATAGGTTTTTTCTTTGATTCTGCAGAGCGTAGGTCGAGCTCTTCAATGGCTACACAGCTCTAAGTATCCCTCCACCATTTGACAGAGTTTAGATAATGAGGCAAACACACAAGGCTCATCATTAGTGTAAGTGTGCCCCCACATGGTTTAGCTGTGAAATAACAGGTGTTCATGTTAGAAAACTATGAATGATTAGTTTGGTCATCATCTTTTTGTCTCTCAGTGGTTATACACAGTTTTTCTGATGCAATGTTGCAGGTAGTTGAGAATGCATAAAGGGCCGACGTGTAATTTGGAAGACAGAGAACCTAAACAGGCCAGTCTAACACGCTTTATTACATCTGCAACCTCTTCCTGCACATTCATCACTGGGTGTATTCTCAACCCTCCCCCATGCTCCCCACCTCTACCTTTATCACTTCAATCACTTGGCAATATGCCTCGTGCCACTCAGGAGGCTTGCTGCCCGTTTCACTTCACGCAACTCAAACGCACTCCTACTATGCAAGCTCTCTCATTTCAAACACGCTCTCTGTTCGACATCCATCTGTCCGTTAGTCACTGCTCTTTGAAGCTGGGTGCAATATGGACCTGCACACACATGGAGGTCCAGATTCTGCACAATGCACCAGCTGGACTGCTGATGTCACACAGTCAGCCTGCTGAATATTCCCCATCATCATCATCATCATCATCATCATCACCATGCAGAGAGAACCTTGTAGAGTTATTGTTGCAGCAGTTCCAGTGGTGTCATTACAGGGGACAAAATCTGTTTTGTGACAACTTGTTCCCTTTCTTCCTGACAGAACTGTGCTGGTTTAACAGTTGAACACTCAGAGGCCCCTCTGCAGTGCAAATGCAGCACTTTCCCTCTGTATTGACTCTGTCAGTGTCTTTGTTTGAGATGTGGGACTAAAAGAAAGAAAGGAATTTTAATACCAAAGAGCAAACACTGATGAATTAAGGCAAAACCTGCACACAAAATGTTTGGATTTATAAACACTGAAGACAGTAATGGTGCAAAAAAATGCTTCTGCCTTGATAAGCAAGTTGTAAAAAATTAACAGCGTCCACCAAACAGTCAACCACAAAGCACAGTGCTTTTTACTGGGATTATATATGACGGATAATTATATATTAGTGTATGAAGTTTTTTTCAATAAAACTCTTAAAAGTGAGACAGAAATTTGTATTCAGTCCCCTGTAAATGTAAATATGTATTCAGCAAAAAGAGCTTCCGGTATTTGGGGATTGCTTTTAAACCAGCTTCACACACTTAGAGACGATTTCTTAGCACAATAGTTAGAGCCAAGTCACACAAGCATTTGTAATATAATTTTTTACTGTTCAAATTCCTAAGTAGTTTCAGGTCTGGACTTTGATTAGGATATTTGTTTCAGAGAAAATGTTTGCATGATTTAAAACATGTTCCCAGGGCCTTAGAACGGAAAATAGCCCCAAAGCGTCATAGAAATTATACAAACTTGAGATGTTATTTTTTTTATAGTATATTTTTTGTCTCATCCAACCAAGGGACATTGGTTAAGATCATTTTTAGTTGTGTTTAGCAAAACCCTTACAAAAAACTCTGGTAGAATGTAAATAGCATCTGTTATTTGTTATGGAGAGACTTGGCATACCAAGATAACCTAAGTAAACACAAAGAGTAGTTTTTCCTTTATTATGTGATGAAACTGTTCAACTTAACTCGGTTCTGTGTAAAACATTTCTTAGCCTCTAAATCTAATGGAGATAACTAAAAATAAGTATGCTAGATAACTGTGGAGGAATTTTGAACCTCTTTGAATTGTTTTTAATTTTCAACCTTAAATTACAATGCTGCAGCATTAAATAAAGCTTTGTCCACACTTTAAGGACACCACTTTATAAACCTCTTTTTTTTGCCATTCATGGACTTGTTTGTGTGACTTAGGTGATTTTCCTGTGAGTTTGCATTAGGTCAAGTACACACACTGGAGAGATTCTGCCTCTGCAAGGTAAGATGAGTAAACAACTACTATTGATAGTTGTATTGCAGTAATAATCGGTTCAGTAACGTCTAAAAAGGATTTGTGTTGAGAGTATATTTTCTCATAAGTATTGAGGATATTTTCAGCCAATGTGAGACAAGCATTTGAGTAACGTTAGATCAGCTTTGCCTCTTAACTCTCCCATGGATGCATTGTTTGTCCAGTCTCCTTCTTTTATTTGATGAATGAAAACATTTGAAACAGAAGACATCTTTAGTATTTTACTGCACTGTGTACTTAATATGATTAGACTGAATTCACTTTAACTTTGTACTGTACTTGAATTAACCAGCAATCCTAGATATGTATGTGTTGCATGTTTAGCATTCGCTTTGATATAAAAGTAAATGTTTTGGGTGGATTCAGTTTTACTGTTTTTAGATTTACCAAATAAGGTACTTCATTGCTGATTTAAGACAACAAATGGTTGACTGCTCTAATATTAATTTCGGGTTTTAGTGGAACAAATCTTTGCTTGACTCAAACAGTATACTTTCCATAATAGCAGATATAAAACCTCCACTTCTTCTCAAAAAATAACTTTACCAAACTCAAACAGTGCAGTCTGCAGAAGGCCAGAGCATCTCTGACTGTAAAATGATCAGCTGACAAATGAGAAATTGGACGACCATCATGGCCCAGTCAGGTCATTTTGGCCATTCTGTGTTTAAGGGCTTATCTTGAGCTCAGCTCTTTTAGGCTTCAAGGCTTAAATTGAGCAGAAAATTCAAGAGTACCAAAAACAGAGGGCTGCCGTCTTAACTCAATTACTCCCTAAGTGCAATCCAAGTGGCCAGCTTGCACACTCAGCCATTCAACATCTTTAATCTCTTCTTATCACAAAGATCCATGCAAAGACTTCTCTTTGGTGATTAATGTAGTGGAGAAAATCAAGGCAGGGGATTAGGCTAAATTAGAGGAGATACGAACCCTTGCTCTAGTGCTTGTTATCTTAACCAGATTTCGTGTCATTGGAGAGAAAATTTCAAGGTAATCAAGGAAAAAAATGAGACGTGTACAACAGCTAAATGTAAAATAACAAAAAATTAGAAGAAAACTAATCAGGTAATTGTAAAATAAAAATAAAAAACTGAGGTAAGGGTTCAAATATTTTATTCCAATAAATTAACATAATTCACATCTGGGGGGAAAAAAATTTGATACAGTGTTAGAATAACTTAAACACATTTGGTCATAAAAGCAGAACAGTCACTGAAATGAAAAAGAAAAAGATTTCCCCCTCAATTTATGAAAAAGTGGATTCTGATTTAAATCAAACAAGTGCAAACAACTCACAGTGTCTCTGACGGTAGGAAAGATCACATCTTTCATACGAGATAGTGCAGAAGAGCAGCTTTTACAAATAGCTCTCTTTCTATGTACAACTAAAGCAGAAATAAGTTTAGACTAAATAATCTTTCTTTTCTGAGCACTTTAGGGATTTTTCATAGATTGCATGAAAACGCATCTTTACATGTTAATATTTTAAATAGCATTTAGACTCTTATGAGCTTTCCCCTTATTTAAAAAAAAAACTAAAAAAAACATTATGCCTGTGATTTTGGCCCATTAATTAGAATGGGGATAATTAGTACTTCATATCTAAACTGGAATAAATGCTGAAAGCTCCCTTCATTAAATGTCAAGGTTTAGACCCTAAGTGGGGTGATCGTCCCTTCATTCAGTTTGCAGTGTCCACCTCAGACTCAGAGTTATCCAGAGTGGATACGGTAGAGCTATACCACTCGGCGCTCTCCTCTTCCTCCTGCGCACCTCCTCTGCCGGCGCCTCCTGCCCTGTCTCCTCTGTCTTTTTTCTCGTTAAGCATTTCCACAGCCACCTGGTGAAACGGGTGTTTGCGTTTAGTGTGTCGTCGCAGGGTGTTGCGCTCGGCGAAACGTGTGTGGCAAAGCTGGCACTGGTAGGGTTTCTCTCCGGTGTGTACCCGCTGATGGCGGTGCAGTTCGCCGGCCTCCCTGAAACGCTTGGTGCAGATGGGGCACACAAAGTTCCTTTGGCCTGTGTGGATGTGCTTGTGTCTCTGTTGAAAGAAAAAATAATCAGTTTTAATGTGTTTATAATGGATGTAAAATCATTCATCCCTACTACAAACAACCTCAAACTTCAACATTTTTAATTGTAATTTAATTTGATTATACCAGAGCAAAGTCCTGCATATATACAGTTGAAGGAAGTCGATGGTATTTATTTTTGTTTGTTTTCTATTAAGGCATATCAGTGAAAGACAACATAGATTATAGACCATATGATCTTAATAATGGGCTGCAAGAAGAAATATAAAGTAGAAAAAAACTTAAGGAAGCATTTTTGCCAATAGTCACAAGCCAATTAGGACAGACAACAAATTTGGTTTGAGATGATTTGGTCAAATTACAACAAAACTCCATATCCAGCTTTAATGCAAAAATACAAAATTCCTGGGAGGTCATCATTCTTCCCTCACAACAAAATGAGTGTCAAGCTTGTGGTGCATGGTGAAGAATCAGTGATCATGTGAGCCATTTTGTCTTCCATAGGCACTATGAACCTTGTTAGAGTGCATCGTCTCATGTACTCCTTGAATAATCTAAGCTTCGTCGAAAAAACTTAAAAAGGATCATCACTGGGTGTTTACGAACATAGATTAATCAAAACCTAAGATAAATCCTAAAGAGAACCTGTGCGGTGAGCTGAGAACAGCAACAGAGTGGGCAAAGATTCCTCCTTTTGATGCTCCAACTATGTAAGCGAGAAAAGGGCTGCTATGTTAGAAAAAAAAGCAGATCAACCACTCCATCCGTTCTAACATTAGTAAAAGAAAACATCCTAACATATTCATAGCGAATATAATAATAATTAAGGGTTGCTTTTCTTTTCTCCATTAAGCTAATAAAAAAATAATTACTTACATTCACCAAAATGTTAAATGCTTCTGTATGAGACTTTATCTGCTCAATGAATCCCGAAGTTAATTTCTTTTGCCTACTAATAAAGGAACCCTTTAACTGCTAACTTTACTTATAAATGTATGCTGCCATTTTATTTCTGCACCTTTTCCTGAGCTTTTACAATTTAATAATCCAGACATTTTTAATAAAAAATCTGAATGAAAATATGACCTAAATCTATTTTGGGGGATTTTTGCTAATTTTTAAAAAGAAATGCACATGCACATCCCTGGACACGCTCCTGAGAGGAAACGCCTATCAAATGCGTTTGAGAGCGTGCATGAGCCAATTTCTCCTTGTGCATGCTCTGTTTAAAAGTTGCTATTTGCATCGTTCATAAAAGCTTACTTTCCAAAAGAAGATTTTTAATATTTCCACTATGTCAGACTCATCACCAGTAAGTGAAAATGGGGACGAGCACGTAGGACGGCCTTATGTAAACATATCACCAGAATGATTGACAATTAGGAGGACCACTTATTTTGATGATCCACTCAAGAACATCCTCCACTATACCTTTAATGTTTAAACTGGTCCAACAGAAGCCAAAAAATATATATTGACTATAAAGGAATAGATCGATGGGCAGATGGTTGAAAGTTTAGCAGTTTAATAAGCTGCAGCTGTATAGACAGCGGTATAAACAAAATCTTCTCTGAACTAACCCTAAGATTACAGCTTATGGGTGGAGAAAGCCTGCAGGAGGAAAAAGAATATTATGGAAAACAAAAGACACATTTTTTTTCTTAAATGCTAAAACAAATTATTTAAACAAAACTTTATTTTTAGAGAATTACAGCCCACCACTTGGTATCTTTGTGCCTCCAGTGGGTAGGAAATAAAGCCAAATAATAGTCTGCAAACACATTTACTGATGAGGAAGCAGATTTGCTGTGTTGTCACAAGCATCCGGGCTCCAAAAAAACATCAGTGCCCCGAATTAGGAGGAAAATAATGGGATCTGAAAGAGGCAAAGAGTTGTAATGTTCCACAGTAACATCCACTGGGAGTTTAAATTAGATTTTTAGAAAAGCAGTAAGAGACACACTGATTGTGGTCCATATGGGTGACGTACGGGGGATTTTACGTTAGATTTATATTATTTGAGCTATGAGACCCGTGAAAATGTAAATAAGTATATATTATGTTGAGCAGGTTTATTCATATTATCTATAATCTCAAACTTTTTGTTTTGATATACATAGGAATTTTACTGCACAGTGGTACAGTGTCACTGTTGCAAGATTTCTTATTTATGTTTGTTGTGTCCCCTGGGTGGCTCGTAGTTAGATGCAATACCTGCAATGTTTTTATTGTATTTTTTTTTTATAAAAAATATGAAATGTCCAATAGGAAAAAAGTTTGAAGTTACATATATGTAAGATGGATCTCAGGCGTTGCCAGATCCTACTAACTCTGTAATGAAATAGCTTCTACATTGAGTTAAATTTCTTAGATTCAAGTGAACAAAAAAGGAAGCAAAGGGGCTAAGAACCACAGAGGTTGCTACTTTCCTTCTGGACAGTCAAGTTCAATGGTTTCTAATGTTAACAAAACTTCAGCCAATACAGTAACGTGGCACAAGCATGTGGCTGCAGGTTTGATGTGTTCTTCTTCAAACGAGTTATTGTGAAATTAATTAGGTGTCGGTTTAGTCTGTTGTTAACACCAGAGCAGCTACTTGCTATTTACAGTTAGCTTATCCTTTTTTCGGTATTTGGCAAAAGCCTGGCAAGCAAGTACAAGCAAGTGCAACACCAACTTGAGGGGAGGAGTTAAACTATAGCTATTTACCTTCACTTTTAAGAACAGCTCTGATCTTCCATGAGGGCCATACACGTACATGACTTGTTTTACAGTTGAATTTATAAAACCAATTAACATTTAAGATCCGCGTCACAACTGTGCACCCTTTATGTGAGCCCTAACATATAAAATGCAGAAAAAATTATAATAAAGTAGCAAATAGCAGAAACAGGTCAAGAAGAAGAGAAATAAAAGTAGGTAAAATAAGTGTGATGTACATATAGAATTTTGTGATTACACTATTTAGAAAATGGCTAAACAACATATTTTGAGCTCAGGAAATAATTTAAGTGAAGAAGAAATAGGAAAATGTATGATTTTTCTAGTCTGAATTTGTTAGTTGATGATAGAAATGAAATGTTGGGATAAAGAGACAGATTTCTGCTGTGTGAAAAGTTAAAGTGATTGCTAAATGTGAAAGCAAATTAATCAACAAGGATAAACATTAGCTGCATCTCCTGCTCTGTTTCTGCTGATCCCTAACGAGCAAACCAGTCACTGTAATAACTCATCGGGTTCCCTTAAAATGACACCTGATGAGCGCCCTGCTGTACCTCCCAGTAACCATAGTTACCTGCAGATGGCTGGAGCGTTTGAAGGCTTTGCCGCACTGCTGGCAGACATGAGGCTTCTTCTGAGAGTGTGTGATGGCATGCCGCTCCAGGTCAGAGAGGTAAAAGAAGATCCGAGGGCACAGCTGGCAGCACAGCACCCTGCGGGGGCCCAGGTTGGTGGGAGACTCCGCCGGTGAGAGGGGGTCCAGAGCGTCAAGAGAGTCCAGCTTGCCTGACGGAAGGAGGGGTCCAATGGGAGGTGAAGGAGACGGAGGTGGGGGAGCTGTGGCGTTGGAGAAGTAGAGGTGGTCATCCAGAGGAAGATGCTCTGAGTGGAAATCTGAGGAACCAAACTTCAATTCTGAGGATGGTAACTGGGCCTCTGCCTCGGAAGGATGTAGAATTGTGGGGTCACAGGTCGGAGAGTGGGACTGTGCAGAGGTGGCTGCAAAAGATGATGGCTTGTTGTTTTCACTGGTGACTTCTTCGTTAGATATGGCTTCACTTCCTGGGTTTGACTGAGAGTAGCAGGTCTGAGTTTGGATCGCCGTGCTGAGGGAGCTGTCCTGCAAACAGACGGTGGGGGAGGGGACAGTGAGGGAGGTGAGGACGGGGCCAGAGGCCATGCTGTCAACACCTGACAGGATGAGAGGCGAGTTGCTGGGATCCAGTCTGATTACAGGGTTAGAAAAGTTGGAAAGAGGCGATCCGAGTGCGTTGACCTGACCCGAAGACAAAGGGAGAGACACTTGACCTGAGGTTGCAGTAACCTGGGACAGCTGACCAGTCGAGGGGTCGAGGACAGCAATGGGGGTGGAGGTAGAGGTGGAATCTGTAGATGTGGAGGGTACAGAGGAGAGGAGAAGCAACATGGGTGTGGAAGCACCCGGTGAGGTCACTGAGAGGGGAAGCGAGAGACCAACCGGAGGAGAGGAGAGCTGAGGGGAGGAGGAAGACAGGAGGAGGAGGGGAGCACTGGTCGAAGGGTTGGTCAAGATTTGAATAGTTTGACTAGAGAGTGATATCCCCGATAAAGGGGTTACTGCTGTTTTAGCCTCCTGAGTATCTTTGACATTCAGCTCTACAGCAACTGAAGTATCAGAGTTAGTCATCAGATTTAACGTATCACTTCCTTGTGGAGACAGATCACTGGCAGGAAAATCACCAGGTGCATCTAGTGCATTCTCTAAACTTTGGCTATAGCTTGGACCTGCCAAATCTGATGACCCGTCTTCCTCTTCCTTCTGTATCAAATGAACCTGATCCGACTGATGGCCCCCTAAGATGGAGGCATCAATTTGGGGCACTTTGAGTCCATCTGGACTTAGAGTATAGGGGATTCCTTGATCGTCAATAAGGAGAAGGTTTTCATTGTCCTCTCCTGAAGAAAGGGATTTAAGGACGCAAGTAGGAAAGTCCACAGAGCCCTCATCACTGTCTCCCTCCACCATGTCTCTGTCTCCATCTCCCTCAAACTCATCCACCTCCATTATCAGGGGGCTCGCACATCCCGGATCCTCCAGAAAGCGCCCGTAGATCTTCTCTTTTGTCTTGGGCAGACTCAGATCCAGCGGCTCCATCTGTTCCTCCATTTCTGCCTCACTGAATGTTCTAAAAGACCTGGTGTTCATTTCTTGAACTATCAGAGGAATATTATGCTCAACTGATTTCTCTGTAGGTTCCTCTTTAATCCAATGATGGCTCAAAACTTTAACTGTATCGGTATTGGAGATTAGATCAGAGTCTGACCCATCCATTTGTCTGATTTTTACATTTCTCTCTGCTGTAGCATCTCCACTAATCTCTTCTTTCTTCTGAGGAGCTGATATGGGGACTTGTTCTCTGTTGTTTTCTGTGAAATCTCCTTCAGCAGAAATCAAAGTTTCACTAAACTGTGACCCAGAAGTGTCTTTGGTTGGGCTGAAAGCACAGTTTATCATTGGCCTATTGCACTCAGGGGGGACAACAATTCTGATCCTTATTGGTTGCTTACCCAGGACCGGCACCCCATGCTTGGCTGTAATTGGCTGTCCAATGCCAGCAATCTTACTGGTTTCCTGAGAGACCGGCTCAGATGTCCCGCCCACCTCTGGCTGTTCCCTGTTGACTGATTGAGCATCTCGCCTGAGGATGGTCACAGCAGCTCTGACTGAGCCAGACTTCAGGTTACCCGGTTTGGTACTGGGTGGGAATTTTTTATCCTTTTGGTCCAGAACGACCTTTGTCACGGGCTCCTGTGCCTCTGCACACTGGCTGCCATTTTGGACTTTCAGGCTGCCACTTGTTAGGACTGAGGCCAACTGAGAATCCATTTTGGGGCATAACTATTCCTATTTTATAAAATATAAGGAAGAAAGGAATAGGGATTAGAAAATAATCATGTCAACATTCATTTAAAAGCAAACACCCGTTAAAATGAAAGAGTTAGAAACAAACTGCATAATAATACTTATTATTATGCTTTATATTATAATTAAAGGGTCAAGCCAACGTTTATCACTAGTTTTTAATGGTGTTTTATTTCTAAAATGAATAAGGAGCGATGCATATGATGCTGCATCTTCTAATATTCCTCCAGGAGGAGGGTTGTACTATTTTTTATTAACCTAACCTTATTTCCGACAGAGATGTTAGACTGGAGTCGAAACGCCGCGGAGGCGAGAATTTACATTTTCCAGCACCATCCAATCACCTGAATGCAACACGGATAACGAATAGATTCCGCCACATAAAATGATTGGAAATATTCTCGAAACGCAACATATAGCTGCTCTAAATGATTACTGGGAATAAAACCAAGGAGAGCTGTCCATGGAGGACGCCATTACGCACAGACTTAGGTCCGAAACGCCAATATGTGTTTATTGTGAGGCTGCGCTGTGCCAGCTGTCGGACCTGGGACAGCAGCATCACAGTCACGTCAGCCGGAGCGGAGAAACGACCGAAGCGGACCCCGTCCTCCTCGCTGCTTCCTCGGACCTACAGCCAGCCATTTTACGGAGCCGAGGGTCCGAGCCACCGCGAGCGCAGCTCCGGGGAGGAGGGAGGGGGAAACTTTCCCAGCGCGCTGTCCACCTAATTCCTGCTTGTCCGAGATCCGCCGGCGCCTTGCTGGACAACATACATTTAAAAACACTGCATTAAAAAAAAAAACTATACTCCACCCATACCCTCGCTGCATTGGGACTGGCTTACCCGAGCTGTGGATATTTCCGGAGGACCAAATATGACTGTGCAGTGCAAAAAAAAAAAAAAAAAAGGGTGATGCTGCGAATGCTGAGGGAGGGAGGGAGGGGTCAAAAGGAGTTGCTATGGTGTCGCAGCCTACCGGGTCCGAGCAGTAGCCATGTTCAGCCTATGAGTACTGTTGAACCTGCAGCACAGGAGGGCTTCATCGTGTGCCATTAAAGAGCCAGACAGCATGTTTCACATAGTTTGTCTCTTTATTTCAAACATCAAAAAAAATATAAAGCTCACAAGCCCTGCAGGCTTGATGTGTCAGACTCAGCAGCAGAAAGAAACAGATCTCACAGTGAAATGAATCACATAGTCTGTTCAGCAGGGGCTGAGCTAGATGGGGGGCCAGGGGTGGCCATCGCCACCCTTAGCCAATCACTGGCCACACCTACCATTCCCCCCCCCCCTCTAAAGCCCCGCGTACACTGTGCGATTTTTCGGGCGATTTTCCAGTCGTGCGAGAATCTTTCGATCGGGCCGATCAGGAATCGTGTGACCGTTGTGGGCAAATCACTCTGTGCGCATGCGCAAGCAAAGATTTTTCTTTTTATTCTTCCTCTAGGATGTAAACACAGCAGCGTGGCGGGGGATGCAATGAGGGAAATGCAGTTCTGTCTGTAAAATTGACACACCATAGTAGCCACATTTGCTCAGCCATGTCTTTTTTCCAAATACGTCGTCGCCTTTTCTTTTTAGGGCTTTCGGCACCAATGTGCACAAATTGCCAAGGGAGCGCGTTTCACTACAGTGAGCGTCATATTCCCCTTCTACTTGTTTGGCTTCCGGATAGATTAGTCAGAGCAGCTCCATCTCACTGCAGAGCACAGTCCGATGTGCTTTTTAGTTGTATAGTGTGAGCAGGTAGATCGCATGAGAGCGTGGGGCCGAACATAAATCGTGAACCCTGTACGACTAAACCGCAGGGTTTAGTCGTACAGTGTGAGCACTAGCTGCGTGCAACGACTGAAAAAAATCGCACAGTGTACGCCCGGCTTAATACAGATGGTGGCAGCAGTAATACTCTCAAGTGGGAGATTCATTTTAATTTTTCATGTATTACTTTCTATTTTTTCAGATATTCATAATAACTTGACAACAAAAACACTGTGGTTAATTATGCACATCAATATAGTAACATTAAAGATGATAAGTACAGAATTCATGCTCTTTTCAGAACTAGATATTGTGTTATATGGGGTAAAGAGAAAATTATGTGTGTCTGCAAGTCATCTAGCAGTCTTTTGTGAAATCATAAATAATTATTATTAAATCATCTATTTATGTACACTGCAAAAAATATAAATCTCAATAAGTTATTTTTTCTTAAAATAAGTGTGTTTTTCCTTGATTTGAGGAGGTAAGTAAGACACTTTGCCAATGGAACAAGACAATTTCCTTTTAAAATAAGAAAAAACTATTTTATCGTCTTATTTCAAGTAAATATTATCTAACTATCTTATTTTAAGAGTGAAAATACTCATTCCATTGGCAAATCATCTTATTTACCTGCTCAAATTAAGGCTAAATATACTTAATTTAAGCCATTTTTTACTTATTTCTGGATTGTTTTTGCAGTGTAGATATTAGTACATCAATTTTATGCAGAATAATCTTTGATAAAAGTAGGTAAGTATTGAAAAAGAAAAAGATGTTCGCCCCAGAACTCAAACCTGAAACAATTGTATCCCCTATACCTTTTATCTAGAAAACATGGATGTTTAATTATATGCGTCTATTTGTTAGCAAAGGCTATAGGAAAATATGGTTAGTTTTAACTTTGGCTTGACCCCGAGGTTCTGGCGCCTATCCACTTTCAGCCACCCCTCAGTGTACATTGGTTATTGCCTGGCCACCCTAATAAAATGTTCTGGCTACACCTCTGCTGTTCAGGCATGATAGAGCTTCTAATGAACTATGAATTGTGACAGTTTTTGATATGAGAGTTTATTTCCATGGGGAGCACTGGGCGGCACAAGTAATCAAGGTTAAGAAGTAATCTCTCTTTTACAATTCCGGTTATGAGGCTGATTATCCACAGAAAGTCTAATTTCTTTTTTACATATATCAGGTATAGAAAACGACGTTTTAATGTTATATCCATTCACTGACCTATTAATCTCTTCATCAGTCTATCATCCATTAATCTATACCCAACCCTGTAGACACATGTCTACCATAAATTTTACATTTACACTTAAACACTGGATTACACACTTTTTTAAGAGTGATATTCAAGAGTTCTCAGTCCATTTGTTAGCCAGCTACATCCTGTGCAGTGGGTCCCTGCAATGCTAAATTTGTTATCTGAGCAGGACCCTCCAATTTGGAGCTACAAATAAAATCTAATGCTGTGTTTATGCAGTTTATGCAAAGAATAGAAAACATTCTTAGATAGCTTCTTCCATGCTGCAGAGAACAGTTTGTAACAGGTAAAATCACTGAGAAGAGGGTAGATGTTAGCAGAAACTCCCCTCAGGTTCTTTTCAACCTAGAAATACCTCTGCATACATCACAACAAAAGTCGCGAGAGTATGGAGCATCTGAAGGTGCAGCAAGATTTAAGCAAGGTTTGGATGTAATAACAATGCCTTTAGAGTGCAAGAGAAATAGAACACCAGGCCTAAATAAAAGATGATAGTTTAAACTTAACCACAAAAACTCACAAACCTAAGAGATTTTTGCACAAATAAAATCTGAAAGAGCAAAATAAAAGCACATGAATCTGTACTGATTGTCCAGGGGGTGTTATTAAACCGATGCATGTCTCAGTGGGTTGAGATCAGATGTGTTAGGTGGTCACTCTACGTCACCGGGCGCACATGATTCAATCTCCGACACTAGCCGATGTGGGAAGAGTTTATACTGCAACCATGTGGGCTCTGAAACAAAGAAAAAAAAAAGATTGTAAAATCATTTGCCTTTTAGGGTCAGACCATTAGTATCCTTAAATGTAATGTGTCTCACTATGAATCCAGAAGGTTCAGTATAAGAGGTTATAGAACCCAAACAAACAGCTTTATGAAGAAAAGGGACTAAGCAGAGTTAGGTTGCACACCTTCAAATCTACCAAGATATCATCATCTAAATACAGGCCTAGTAAATAGAACCAGAGTAACTCTGGAGGATCTGTAGAGATCACAAGCTCTTTTTAAGTAAAAGTAATGAGAAAAACTCTGCAATCCCTGGCAGGCTGATTTTCTAAATAAAATATCAATACACATGTTTGTTATATAATTACAAATATATTAACATAAGAGGACAAACCAATGGTTCAGTCACTATGGAGGAGTATTAGGCTCACTGGAGAAAGAATAATAAGAAGGAAGTTCTTTTACTGCTCACTCTTATTTACATTTTGAATAAAGTTGAAAAAAGTAAACAAAGTTGCCTATATAAGCAATCTGGAGGGAACACTGGCACAAAAACCTATGTCAGCCCTGCCTTATGTAAATAAGATAGAAACTTTATACTTTCAAATAACCGAAACCTGGACCTACACCTGAGGTATCAAGCATACCAAACCTGTTTGAGAAGAACGCAGCGGTTTGACATCTTGTCTTTCCTTTAATACCTTATTCCATTTAACTCTCACATTAATTATAGTAGTATAGCTATTATTTTAGTTTTATTCTTGGAATCTATTTTGAAGTGATTTTTAGATATGTCAGATTTACTGTGTTATGAAATACAAAAAAAACATCAATTCAAAACTATCCGCCTTTATTTGTTTTGCTCCAATAGATGGTAATATTCCATAAAGTCATTGATCTAGATTAGATCATAGATTTTTTTAGTTTCAAACTACGGCATGATGGATTAAGATAATGCCTCGAAAATGTAATAACCCTCAAAGTACTACTGCGTAACCAGATTATGAAGAGTAGGCTAAGTAGCTTTCTTTCCAGGAATGTTTCTTACATGGGAACGTCATTCTTCTTTTGGACTTAAGTTATTGTTTTTGCTTTTTGTCAATTTAAACAATGCATTGTTTAAATAAATTCACAATAACTCTTATGTATCCATGTAGGGGGGCATAGCAAGGATGGAAGAATAAGCTTTATACATATAATACCAATGCAAATATTTTTACCTGCACACAAAAAGCTATATGAGGAGGGAAAAGCTATAAGTGTACATCATTCTGTATGCACCGTCTCGACACACCATATTAATGCTTAAAAATGGTGGCAGCATCATGCTGTGAGAAGGCTCCTGTTCAGCTACTCATTGTTGATTAATAGATATAAATACAGAGAATCATAGATTCTGCAAAAGATTTTAGATTTAGGACAAAAGTTCATCTTTTTCCAGCAGGATAGAGCTACTAAACACACAACTAGAGCTATAGTAATATACTACATGTTGGTCTATCATATGAAATATATCTGGAATTAGATGTAGCAAAATAAGGAAGTTTAAGGGTTTGATAAGTCCTGTAAATAATTAAAATGGTCTGTTGGGTTTACCAAGGTAGCACTCCGGTGTCTGCAGCTTCCCATCAAAGCAGGTCTGAGCTGCTGTGAAGCTGCACTGCTTCTTGGGATGTTTGCAGTAGAATGTCACGTTTTCCCCGTGGGGAACCATGGCATCCGTGACATCGAATGGCCAACGCTTCACTCCACCAATCACAACACGGCTTCGCTCAGCAGGGATGACACAACGAGCTGTATCATGAAATTATGAAAACGTCATGAATAAACATTTCATCATTTATTTGCAAAATTCTTTATAGGTCCAATTTTTATTCCTGTGAAACCCAAATGGTCTGGGCTTTTCCTCACCTCTGCAGTGTGGTGGAGATGCGCTCCAGCTGCCATTTGACAGACAGGTGATCTTCTGGGGTCCATCCAGCAGGTAGTTCTTCTTGCATAGATAGTGGATGTCAAAGCCAACCTCATATTCGGCCTTCTGGATTGCAACCACGTAGCCCTCTTTCACGTCCTTTGGAGGTTGGCAGAACAGTTCTGCAAGGCAAACAGATTCAATTCAATCAGCTTTTCTTTGCAACACCACTGATTTTAAACATGAATCAGAAGACAATAGTTGTTCTATTGTTATTAAGGTAAAAATATGTTTAATAGAAGACTGATTATTTGAAAATCTTGCATAATAATAAATATAATAATTCTGTATAGGAAAAAAAAGAATGATATTTGACATACTCAGCTCAACAGAAGTACTGATGAGTTATTACAAAATGACATTAATCCGCTGGATTAAGGGATGAAAAACAAATCTGATGCTCTGGTTGAATTACATTCAAATGAACCATATTTACAAATGAGGTGATTGGATTTTATTTTGGGGGGTCAAAGTAAAGAGGTCTTAGTATAAATTTGTGTCATACATCTCAGCCTTTACTTTAAAGATCTAAGTTAAAAGCAATGTCTGCCTATCCTACAAAACCCAAATAAAATACTTAAGTTAGAAGTGTCATGTGAGCATTAACACTCTCACTGTGTATTGCTGCTGAACATACCTTTACTTTAGAGAACAGGTTTACAGACTCCAGCCTTTAAAAGTCTCGATCAAGAGACTATAATCAACATATATTGTAAAATTTTGTACATTCTGTAAATGAAAAAAACAACAAAACAAAACACGTGTTTTTATATTTTGTGGGAAATGAATGGGTTTTCCCCCCCAAGCAAATAATCCCTTTAATCTATGCTTTTACAACAAGCAATGAATGGTGATTATACATAGTTTATTTTGCTAATTGCTTTCCAGTATGAGGTGTGCTTTTTATGAAGATTATTTCTGGACTGAAACATTGTCTTGTTCATAATTACAGAGTTAGGTGTTAAGGACAATAAAGAGTTATTTTAGTAGTGGAACTGAGGGTTTATTCATCTTTCTTTATTAAGGGTTGCTCCAGCCTTAAATCTTCATTTAGTCTGTTGAAGTGCATGTAACTACCTTTCTTTATTTACTATATGATGATAACTTGAATGTAGCTTCCTTCAAATACCCCAATCATTTCAGAGTGTTTCCCTTTTCCTACCTATAAAAGCTATGATAATAAATGTAAACAGTATTCAACTACTGATATATATATATATATTTTTTTACAGAAGTTTTCAAAATACATAATTGAAATTCCCCCCACCCCCATTTGATCAATCCAGAGAGTTTGAGTTTTGACCACAAGAGGGCAGGAGAGGACTTTGAAACATAGCCTTGTGTTTGTGCCTCTTTCTTTTTTTACACTCCACTGAGGATTAAAAAAAATGCAGTTTCCAAACTAACACCTATTATCAGTCTCTCACCTTAGCCATTTACTCACTCACACATGATTCACTAACCTTCAGAAGTGTGTAAAGTCTTGCTGAGAGTGAAGCGGATGTAACACATAAACACACACGCTGCACACTTACTTTTACAGACCGGATGAGGATGCAGCCAGGTCTGGTTCTCCTGGCAGAAATTTTCTCTGCTTCCAACTATTTCTGCCCTGTGGGGTAAGAAAACAGTACACTGAAGAAACCAGATTGGAAGATGACCTATACACTACAACAAGGGGTGCTAGAAAGGTCCTTAAAAGGGGATATCAGTAAAAAACTGTGCAAATGCATCCTTTGCTTCAACCTCTTGTTTAAATTGTGTGAGTGTGATCATGAGTGCAGAAGCTCTGGCTGACACATCCACTCTGGCTCATCTTTTCCTTTGAGATGAGTCAGTGTGTGAAAGGGAAGTCGATACAAGATTTGACTGTAATGACCTAGTTAGCTCAATGGAGACATCATCAGCTGGGAGATCAAAATGAATTCCCTGCCATTCATCGCTCATAACACCAGCCTTCCCCTCCCTCCCTCTCCTTTTTTTCCTTCACACTCCATCTATCACTTCCTCCGCTTCTTTCTCTGTATTTCAGAGCCACACTCACCCAGACAGGCAGCTGTAGCGGATTGAAGTACCCACAGTGGCTTCGCCGTGGATGCTGAAGGTGTGGATCACCTCTTCTGGCAAAGGACAGGTTTGAGCTGGAGTGTTTTCAGGTGGCTCAGACACTGTATTTCAATGGAAAAGCAAGAGGTGTCAAAAAAGGCGAAAGGGTGAATACCAAACAGGACATTTGTTTTAATCTAAGCAAGAGAATTAATAAAATATAAGCACATTTGGGTTTGCACAGCATTATTCATTTAAGGTTTAATGAACCAGGAATAATACTGATCTGTTAGAATACTAAAACAGCGAATGGAAATCCTCAAATAAAGCAACAAACAGGGCAGTTTTTTATAAAAAAAAAAATTTCAATTAGATGATTTTCTGCACTTGATTCTTTATTGGATGAAAGGGAGCCGAGGTTCTAAACTGTGTCACTGTAAATGCTGTAGTTCCAGTCTTACTGAGCTTAAGGTATTTTGCAGAGCAAAATAGCAAGAGAGTCTCACTGCAGACCTGCACTGTCAGGACCCTTTGTTGCAGACCTGCAAAATGGGGTCTCCTGAACTGTCAAAACTGGAAGTTTATTCCTGAAGTTGTATTTGAAGCCTTCGGGAATAGCACGCAGCACATGTTTGCTGCCAGATTACAGTTTATGGCAGTGTTAAACTGAGCAGAGGAACAGTTGAAATGATACAGTAAACAAAAATCCTCATAGGCAGCCAACCTCCATTGTCGTTTAGAAAATGTCTTATAGACCAAATGCCTTTTTCCATCCAATGATCCAAATACAGAGACTTAATTCTATGTAGCACATATGTATTATTTCAGATAGGAGTTTGGTGGGGAGTAAAATTGTGAGCGTTCATAAGTTTCCAGCATAACAACACTTGTTTGTGAAAGTAAGCTACGTAGCTTCACAGGGAGTTTTATCAGCGTTAGCTTTTACTTTAAAAAGGCTTTGAATCAACTTTGCTTTTACTTTTATGTCTTCAAATAAACTTCTGGTTCTTACAGTGCAGGAGACCTAACAGTGCAGATCTGCAGCCAGGATACTGACAGTGCAGTGTAACCAAAAAGACAATCAAGCATCTCCTATTAAATAAATGATGGCGATTATGGTTGTCAACTGACAAAATTTGGTATTAATATTCTGTAATAGCATTGCAGCACTACAAAATTTATGGGGAAATTTAATGGGTGTGGTTTTAGTTATGTCATTGCATAGGGTGCTCCATGTTATTGCTTCAGGAACACTTATATTTTATTTCATTGTTTCTTTTACTTGAGATAATATGTATAAATCTCTACAACAGTGTAGTATCAATAAGCCGTGGCCCATCATGTATTTTTCTGTAAAACTAATATGTAGCATTAAAAAAACATGAATTAAAAACATGTTCTTTATGTTGATAGTGTCTACAGTCAAGCAGAAGTCCATCCTGACACGTCGTTTGCCCTTTTAAACCCGGGCTTTCAGTGACCCACAGAGGGAGAGAGTTTCACCCAATGTCTCGTTCTATTTCAGTAGATATAACCCTTCTTAGGTAATAAACCAGAGTTCAACAAGCAGGTGAACCGCCGCCTCAACCCTCTCCAAGCTATCAGGTTGTATAACTGCTGGCTCTGATCGTTCCTGCAGCTGAGAGCCTCACGCTTGTGCAAATATAAATATCGGAGAGGTGCTTTGCAGAGAGAAGCTGTAGTGACCCGAGCTGTTTTGAACAGGAACACAGCTTTAAAAAGGCAGAGAATGCTCTCGCCTGAGGACTATTTCTGCCTTCTGAAATGGATAAATGTTCAGATAAGAATACAAAGGCACCTATGGGAGATGGAGATATATTTGAGAGCCTGATGCCAGGTTCTGTTTTCACATACCGCCCCTCTCCTGCCTGGTACTGCTGCCTCCTCCACACACAGAATCTGGCACCAAACCGTACAGATACAGGTATATCAGATTCATCTTCGCACAAAAACACATAACAGCGATTCTGAAAGAACCTCGATGAACAAACTGCATCATTCTATTCTGACCAAATGTGTGCAGATCTGCTTAGGGTGGTTTCACTCATGCAAACATGTACACGTCCACATCCACACTATGTAAACTAAACAGCCTGAAGGTGCACGCTTGTCCTTGGCTCCTATTGTGGAGAGAGACCTTATCTGAGGCCTCAGATGGAGAAGGATGAGAGCAGAAAGAGATGAGATGAGAGGAGGAAAGGACAGAGAAGAGGAAGGCCTGAAGCAAAATGAGCAAGAGAGCTTTCTGACTCTCCAGACTGTGATCTGTCGCCCACACACACAAAGACACACAGACAAACAGTGTGACACATCTGCAGCCCGCCCCTCTAACACATCTACATCCTATCTATCCAGAAAAATTACCTTTCTACCTCCTGGTAAACACACACACAAACAGTGCACATGGCGCTCACTCTGACAGGGACGCACTGCCCACCACCTCATAACAGACACAGATCCACTCCACTCACACCGGCACAAAAACACACAACACAAACCCTCGCACACGCTCAGAACCCACCTACCTTCTGCCTGTCTCTTTGAAGCAGAGGTAGAACTAAAGATTTTTATCCTGATATGACCGCTTTGAAGAGGTAAAACACATATTTTGAGAGCGAAAATAAATTTTTTCGGATAGCACGTTTAATGGAGCTGTATGGTAGAGATCGTTAGCAGTGACATGTAAGCCCAAGCAAATATAGGGAGCCCTCTTTTAATGCCGTGTCTTCATAAGACAAGATAAGTACTGATTATTTTAGATTTGTGTTGCCTGCTATACTTTTGAGAGACACATTTAAAGTCAACATTTTATTGTAGTAGCATTATCTCCCTTTGAGAAATTGATAAAAAATCCACTTTTTCGTTTAAGTGGCTTACATTTTGTTCTCTGCAGGAAATGAAATATGCAAATTAAGATAGAAACAGGACAAACTAAAAAAAATAAGAGATCACAGGTTCTCTGTAGGATTTAGGTCTGAGACGAAGGTATGGTAAGGTAAGATTATTTGTATAGCACATTTCAGTACATGGACAATCCAAAATGCTTCACATGATTCAGTGTCTGTGTTGAGTTTATCATTTTGGATCATTATCTTGCTCATTCAAACAATACATTTGATATTTACAACCATTTAAGGAAACAATTTATTATCTATTTGATCCATTGCAAATACCAAATAATATAAACACAATTTCTGATTTTTTTTCCCCCTCCTTTTTTCAAATATAATAATTTCTTCCATTTTGTTGTTAGCTTTTCTATCTCAGCTACTACAAATATATATAATTTAAAGTACACATCACGGGCAAATAGAGTGATCCAACCTGGTCAAATATGTATATAATATATTGGTTTTATGAAATCTATCCTTATATCATATCCAAACAGTCCTGTGCAAATCAGGTGTTGCAATCACATATTTTGATAAACACTCAACCTAAGATGAAATCTTAGATCTGACATTAGTCTGATGAAAAGAAAGATTTCTAACAACAGCCTGTGAGAATTGATCTTTTTGAATTATAAAGCAACTTAACTACTATGCAGAAAAATGTTTATATTTCATAAATTGTTTATTGTCCAGGTAGAACAGACCTGATGGAAACATTACTCCCACTATATCATTCTAAATTGTGCAGTAGTTAGATATATAACATTTTTTAAATGTTTTTTCTGGATTTATGTCCTATGTGTTTGAAGAGGGACATCACATTCATGTGGTGATGTGCAAAAGTTGATCCTCAATTCTAACACGCATTTAACAGCTGAGATATCAATAGAAACATGTTAAATTAATTTGATTATAATTAATAATTGAGAAAACTAAAGGAAAATGTCTGTCCATTATGTTTAATGAGATTTCATGAAATATTAGAAACAAACTTCTTGGTTAATTGAAAAAATAACCAAATCTAAATATTTTAATCTAAAATTGTAGCAGCTAAATTTAATATTAATTTTGCTGACAAAAGTAGAATACAGCTGAAAGGACTCCATACGACTGAATTCGTACTAAAATAGAGAACTTTCATACTACAGTTTGCTCACCAGGCCACATCCTCACAGCTATCACACCAACCAGTATTTCTATTCTTTTTATTCCATTTCTAATCTCTTTCCAAACTGCTCTCTTTGCCCAAAAGCTAAAGAGCATTAACATAGCAGTGGGAGGCTATATTGAAACTCCTAGCCTTCCAGTTAAAAGAAGACGGATAGACACAATGCATCATGGATGGACCACTTAACAGTGCACTTCAGCTGCTATTCCACACATTCATTCGTTGGGAACATGTCACTATTGGTTAGTTTCAAGTCCTACACTGCAAAAACAATCATGAAATAAGTCAACATATATTAAATTATGTGTATTTACCCTTAATTTGAGTAGGTAAATAAGATCATTTGCCAATGCAATTAGTATATTTACTCTTAAAATAAGATAATTAAATAATATGCTCTTGATGTAAGACAATACACTTTTTTTAAGTAAATTGCCTTGCTCCATTTGCAAAATGTCTCACTTACCTCCTCAATTCAAGAAACTTATCTAGATTTCTTTTTTTCCAATGAACATTTTATATTTCAAGTTATTACAAGTTTTAATGAGCTATTCCCAAATTATATATTTTGTTTTCCCTATTTTTACTGCATGATAACTTTTGACTTTATGGGGTCATCAAGTCATATCAAGTAAACGAGCAAAAGTTCCAGTCAATTCACAAGTCATAACTATTGAAGTCTTTTTAAAATCTTAAAGGTATAGTGGAGGATGTTCTTTTTCCGGGTGGATCATCAAAATAAGTGGTCCTCTTAATTGTCAATCATTCTGATAATATGTTTGCATAAGGCCATCCTATGGCTCGTCCCCATTCTCACTTAATGGTGGTGAGTCTGGCATAGTGGAAAAATAGTAAATCTTTTTTTGGAAAGTAAGCTTGTATGAATGAGCCAAACAGCAACTTTTAAACAGAGCGTGCACGAGGAGAAATGGGCTTGTGCTCTCGTGTGCACTTTTTTGAAGAGGGGGGGTCTTTTGAAAAATTTGTGAAAATCCTCCTCTCTACCTTTAAGTTATCTAATCTGTAACTATTCTGAGTCAGGTAAAGTCATCAAGTCGAAGTCTATATCTTTGACCATAATTGTGGTTCCAGTTAAAGTCCCAGAAGAACTAAGCAACTCCAGCTATTTGTGATGATTGGACAAAAAAAAAATTTCCTGGCATGAGTCCAAACGAACTGCGATAAACACAAAGCATGGACTACAAAATGCTTGAGTTGCTCCATTTTTTACAGGAATTCATGGTTCTGTGTTTTTCTTCAACACAGAAAACAGTTTAAGATAAAAGACTCTAAGTGGGAAATTATCCTACTGCAAGAAAATATTCCTTTATTTTTAAATGCTTCTTTATTCTAAACTGTGCGATTATTTATCACTAAATATTTTCCCTAAATATAAACATGAATCAAAGATTTCTAAAACTAATTATATCTAATGCTTAAACCAGTGGCTCTTATGTGACAGCTCAATAAATAATAATTCAGTGCATCACAAAGAGCTGGTGAGCTGCTGTTGTAGACTGAAATGCAAAATGCAGTGTCATATAAAAAGGTTTTTGCAAGGTAGTTTTAAGTTGTACTGTAATTTTAACATTAAATAGTGTTTTTATAATGTAGTGAGTGTTTCTCAGCGTCCTTAAGCAACAAAGCGAAAACCGTTTTATATTTTGTCCACCATAGAACAGCCCACATATTTATATCCTTCCCACACAACAGTTTTACTTTCCAGAATATTTTTTAACACATCCTGATTCTGAAAAGTCAATTTAATGCGTGGAATTTATATGGTGGAATTTTCTCTGAGGCTTATATATTTTTGTGTCCATTTGTCACCACAGTTCATCTGTTTGAGAGAAAAAGAGACAAAAGAACAGTCTACAAATATGTAAAATCTGCACGAGTATATTTTTGTGTCTGTGTTGTGTGACATCCCACCTGCAAACTGGACGAGCAATTCACACATATTCGTAAACATTTTGACATCTCTCAATCAATTTGTACGTGTGAAACTGATTTTTAGCACAACCGCTTTGTGGATGATGCTAAATTGGTGACTTAATTTGTGTTTACTCACAGATTTTTGTCCATTTGCTTCTTTGCTTGGCAGCAAAGGTAAACACATTGAATTTGAACACAGAAAAAAAAACTCATACTCATGTAGAGGCAAGAAGATATGCTATAACACTCAAAGGGTTTCATTTTGAATTAGAAACAGGTGAATTAGAAATATAGAAAGACTATTGCGGGGCTTTCCTAATTTTCAGAACTTAAATATTTAGACGCTTATTTATACATATAAACGAGAAAAAAAAAACATTTTGGCACAGAAAAGCTTTATTGCTTGCACATTTAGAATAAAGCTCACCTGTGTTAATTTAGATTTTAGGTAAATTAAATCCAGACCAAATCGCTTAGTTTGGCTTAGTTAGGCTTATATCAACTTCACATAAAAACAGATATATTCTGATGAAGGCTGCAGGTCACAAAAAGTGGCCTGGAAAAATAATTAACATAGATGTTAAGTTTGTTTTATTTAAACAAACTGTGAAATTCTCACGATTCTGAAAGTTTTTATCAACCCCACGTTTTGAGGTTAATAAACAGAACTAATTCCTTAATTTCTGCGCAACTAGGTGCTCTCAGGAATTTCCATCTACTCTCTGAAGTTTAATCTCTTCATCATTAATTGAGAATAGCATATTTGGATAGATCACCTGTATTAATTTTATACCCTGACCTATTTGGTAACGCTTTCCTTTACAGTACATCAATAACAATGTAATAACATGGTAATAACTGAGCCAGTCACAATATATATTACTTGATAACAAGAAAAACTTTATTTGGTAATTACACCAAAATTAAGGCATACAATTTCATAGTAATTACCTGCATGTAATTATTACAACTGTATGTTACTAAGTAAAAGTGGAGACTTTTGGTGGGTAATTACCATTAGGTTACCACATAATGGTTTCTATTATTGGCCACCACCTGCCAACGGCTTACAAAGTAAATTGTAACTTATGATCAGGTAAATAAAGCATTATAAAACTGAACTCAAGTGACATATAAATAAGAGTTTAGTTAAGAAGATTAGCTTGCCATCTTCTGGGTTTGGTTTTCTGTTATATGCCAAGTAATAAACTGCATTTTACTAGATAACAACACATTAACTTATTGCTGTCGGTGAAATGACTGAGTTACCTGCTAATAACGGTTTGAAATCTAAGAAGTCTGACTTTACCTTGTCTGCCTAAGATTTAGATCACAGCACTTCACAAATTTCTCCAAAGTTTTTATGTTACCTAGTAATATAGTGAACTTGCTATGTTATTACCATGTTTTCACATGGTTATTGATTCACTGTTTAAAAGAAAGTGTTATCACGTTTTTCATCTATGTCCAGGCATTTTATCATTCACTGATTCAACTTCATTAGTTAAAGAAATGCATTATTTCAATTAAATTCTCCCGTTTTATAAGAATAAAAAATTATTGTGTTAATCACTTCACTCTTTCGACTGTGTTTGTGGCTGAAGGTAGGATAACTGCATCTGTATTTACGTTGATTACAGACAGCAGAGCTGTTATGCGTTATGCTAATTGCTCAGAAACAAAAAAAAATGCAGCTGCCTGAGAGCGACTGGTGCAGTAAAAAATGGGAAAGAGAAACCCTAAGTGCCAAAGGCTTTACAAAAAAATTATATATTTTTTTATCAATTCAATTGTTTTTAAAACAAAGGCATCCTTTTAATCATTTTGTATCACCAGAGACCAAACAATCAGAGAGGAAACAAACAGAATGAGATGTAGCAAAGACCAGTATCAAATGTCTCAATCACAAGAATTGATTGATGGATAGTGGAAGCCCACTCTACCTTTCCACCATGTAATGCCTCTACTCATGCTTTATTTTTAACACAGAATACAGACTTATTAAGTTGGTCGTTAAGGAGGTATACCTCCTTAACGACCAACCCTTAACAATCATAGACAGGTTTCAGGTATTACAGGAGACAATCCCCCCCGTTAATGGCAATCCCCCCTTTAACGACCGACCCCTAGAATCATAGACAGGTTCAGATATTACAGGCTAACGATGGAACTAACGACCCATTCATCGGTTACCATTGCATGTTTCCAAGCGATACAAGGCGTGTCTATATAAGACTCAAATTCACTGCGGATCCAGACATTTGAATTGAGAAAGCTTCCTGGAGAGGTGGCGAAACGTCTTCAAATCTTGAAAACCAAGTCCAGTGGATATTTTTTGAATTTTTACGGAATGACTATGACCTGGATGACTGAGAACCTTCATCAGCAATACAGACTTATGGTGCTTTAAATGATGTTCAGAGGGTATCAAACAGATGACTGATAAAATTCCCTTTTATGCAAAGTAGTAGTAGTTTTTGCATTTCAGAGTAAAGCTATAGATTAAATGTTGGAAATGTTTAACTCAAACATCCTGGGATTGATTCAAATTGAGCAAGATTTATCAGGAAAAGGCTTGTTCTTTTATAGGAGGCTTGTGTTTGAACCCACTGACAGCCTGATAAAGACTAGGCCATTTTAAGCTATCAGCAGCAAGATCTTGGGTCTGTGAAAGCTCTGGTTGACATGGTGATGGGGAGAATAGGTCACAGTTGTGCAACACGTCTAAGCCGTCACATTCACAGAGGGGTTTCAGTCCTGTTCATCTCCCTCTGTCTCTCTCTCTCTCCATGTTGTTTAAACACACAATCTCTAATGCTTATTCATTGGCCCTTAAAAAGCTGAACCACATTTCTGAGAAAACTAGTAAAACAAACCTTTTCATTTAAATTTCCAGACATTTAAAAAGAGAACAATAAGCCCACCTGCGCAGATGGGCTCATCTCCGCTCCACTGTCGGTCACCCTGACACCTGCGGACAGTGACATCCAAGCCATCGGGCAATGTGAAGCCTGGCTTACAGCGCACTTCTAGCAGGGCAGAGAAGGAAGGAGTGGGAGAGAGGAGGCGGATTTCCGAGGTTTCACTCAGGGGAAGAGGCCAGGGACAAGTACGACCTTAGGGGGGGAGGATCCAGGAGGGGAGGAGAGAGAAAAAACAAGAGAGCTGGATACAAAGCAATTCTTAGAAATTGTTGGATGGTAACCAAGGAAAACAATTACTGACAAATTACTCTAAAAGAGCATTGATGAGGTTGTGTAACTAAAATGCAAGCAATCAAAGCGCCCTATTTATCTGACACACATACGCATTAAAAAGTTTGTGTTCAGCTTTTGATGGGGGTGGGTTTCATTTCATTTTTCCAGGAGAAAACAAAGCTTGTTTGTTTGCTCAGAAACACATATACAGGGTCTGATATGGGTGTAGGGCTCACCACCCAGGGCGTTATTTCATAAGGGGTGGCAAGAGAAAAGTTGCTCCTAAACAGGATTTGTTTTTTATGTCATCAGTGAGGATTGGATTGAACTTTAAGAAAAGCAAATATGCTCATAATTAGTAACAGAAATATGTTTATAGTGTGGTATTTATATGTATACAGTTATGTTGATGTCAGTTCATGGGTATTAAGTTATTGTTTGATATAAAGCCAACTATTGTGTCCTAACTTTCAATGTTATTTAAGAAATATGTAGTTGAAATATGTATTGATTATATATCTTATATATTATCTTATATATATATAGCTATAGTTTAAAATCTAAAACACTTTCCAAATGGAAGCCATTTCTAATGTTTACACCAAGAAACTGGAAAAATAATTTAGATAGAATTAATTGCACTCTCTTTAAAATGTAGCTTTTATGTAAGGTACTTTCGCTATGTAAAAGACATTAAAAAAAGTGCTATTTTATTATTATTTATATATGTTTTTACTGTGTTATAACGTATTTTTTATTATATTTGGTGAATATTGTAATAAAAAAAACTGTAGTCACATATTTTGAATCAAATTTGTTTTTTTGTTCTTAATAGTTTAAAAAATTGAGATAATATCAAATAAAGGTAATTTGTTGATGCATTTTTTTAGGGGGGGGGGCAAAACAAAAAGCCAGGCCAGGTTTCAACAGCAGTGCAGATGCAGATATCAAGCACATAAAGTTTCCAACTGTGAAACAAAATTAATCAAATTACCTGGAGCCACACAGCTGAGACCACATTGGCCGTCACACAAACACTGCCGCTTGCTGCCGCATTCTGCGTCCGATTTGCAGTTCCGAGAACATGTCCTTGTTCTCTTCTCTCCTCCCTGAAGTCTCACACATGACCCTGTTTTGGTATAAAAACACTCACTCATTTTAGATGAAGACATCTATAAAGAAGGTGGACTAGTAAACGTGTATGCAATGTAAAAATCTTTTGTGAGTTCTGAAAAACTCTAGATAACATCACTAATACTGATCTTAAAACAGTGTCCAAACGACAATATTCGTTCTCTGCACTTTTCCACATTGTGTCAATTTACAACAAGGAATTACATTCTATTTGATTGGGTTTGTATGCCAAAGAATATAACAAAGAAGATAAGAAAGAAAGCCAGAGCAAGTAACTAGTTTCAGAAGTTACCCTGTTATTGAATCATGGTCTGTAAATTTAACATCTGTGTAAAAGATGGCTGTTTGGGATGTTTATCAAAAAGTATTGTTTGAAAAAAAAAATTGAAAGTGAAAATAGCTTTTTCACAACTACTAACCCGCCTGGACACAGACATCCATCCAAACAGTATATAGAACAGGAATGAGAGCATTTGTCAGAAAGTCAGCCAAAAGGCTCACTGTTATTATACTAACTGTTGGAATAGAGAACAATTATTAATATACCCTACAAATCTGTCCTTTACAGAAAAAGGGAATCAGTTAAATTTGCAGTTTGTCACCATAACCTTTAATTTTCCAGAAAGAAGCAAAGTGGTAGAAGCATCATGCTATGGACATGCCTTTCTTTAACAGAGCAAGATTAGCCTGTTAGATTTTATTGGAAGATGGAGGATGCTTCAAACAAACAATAATGGAAGAGAAAACATTAAAAAAAAATCAAAAGACTTGAGGTTTTTCTTAGAGCATGAAAGCCTACTGCAGAAAGAGAATGGAAACGTTTAAAATCAAACCATGATTAGAAAGGCTTAGTCAAAGTCCAGATCCAAACAGCAGTGAGCACTGATACACAGCACATTTACTCTTTATTTACTCTGGCAAAGCTTGATCTATTTTGCAAACAAGGATGGACAAAAATGTCCCTGGATGCTGGTGACATACCCCAAACAATGTGCAGCTGTGATTGCAATGATTGGTGGCTATGCAAAGCAGTGACTCTGGAGGGCTTAAAACGAATGTAATTCAAGCTTTCTCAGGTCCTTTGGAGTTTTTTTCCCACAATTTTATTTGTGGGGAAATTGAAAGCCATCTATTATTTTACTTCGACTTGAGAATGATAAACCGAATTGTTTTGCTCAGTCAATAAAATTCAACTAAAATAGGTTGAAGATGGAGCTTTTTCTGTGGCAGCATTTGGTACAAAAAAAACAAAGAGTACAAATAATTTCAAAGGCGCCATATGTACGGCCATAACCACCTTCTGTGCACATCTTCTACTGACAGCAGTGTGCATGTTAAACATTACAGAACTTTGAAATGTTTAAGAAGTGACTCCAGATATAACAGGATTCAGAGGTACTATGTTACTCCTTCTAAATGCAACGGAAATAACAACAAAAGCTGTATTTAAGCAAAGAAATAAGCACTGGAACAATTTTTAGCTATTATCTACAGTACAGGAGATATAATATTGATATTACTATTATAAATGGAAAAAAATGTTTATAGAATTTATATTCTCTTGATTAAGAGTTCCTGTTTTAATTTTCATTAATAACAGACTCTAAGTCAGTGCATTTCGACCCTAAATAAAGGCTTCTGGAATTTTGATGCTTGATAATCCTCACATCCAGATACAGGAAAGAGCAAGCAACAAATAAAAAGTGTGTAACCATATGGCTCTATTTTACCACAGGTAGTAAAAATTTGAATCATAATTCATCATTGACTTGTGGCTTACCTGAAGACTGAGGGGAAGCTGTGGCAGTCAGAGCCCAGAGGAGAAGCAACAGCAGAGCAGAGTCCATCCTTAGAGCCAGACCTCAGGATGGTATGAGTGAGGGACAAACTCACTCACTCGCTTTTTTTAAAGAAGTCATTTGTGGAGGGGGGGGGGGGGGGGGGGGGGCAAAAGGAGGGGGTTCTGAGAACACATCTGTTTTGTGTTGTGGAAGAAGAGAAATTAGGAAAATTCCACTCTGAGGGACCTTTCACCCATTTCTGTTAAGATTGCAGATAAAACGCCGGTTAGCACGCCTATAAACAGGGTGCTTTAAAAATAAATATATTAATCAGCTACTTTGGGGAAGTCAAATACTTGAACTTTTTTCATATTTTGAAACACTACTTGTGGACTTTAAATCTATGGCACAGTGTAGAAAAAAAGAAACATTACCAAAAGGTGATCAAGCATGTTGAATAAGGCCTGTTCAGATGAGACTAAAATTGTACTTTTTAAACAACATGCAAAACACATGAGAGGAGAAGAACTAAAACATCACCTTGAATTCATTATCCCCACGTGTAGACTTGGTGATGGAAGCATAATGCTGTGTAGATTAGCCACCATAGATGCAATAGTGTGGCTCAGATCCAAGCTCATGTGGTTTTTTTCAAAGGAGCCATTCAGTGCAGACCTACACTCAATTCAGTCTATTAGACGACTTAAAAACATGTTTACATTTTATCTTTGTCTGATCTGATTTATCTGAGGCTATTGTGCAAAAATGAACATGCACATATTTTAGTCTCTAGATATACAGAGCTAGAAGATATAGCTTAGCTTTAATTGCAAAGAAAGTTGGTTCTACAAAGCACACATTAGGTGTTTAAAAAAACAGACTTTATTCCCTCTACTTCAAACTTATGTGCTCTTTAGTTCTGGTCTATTACATATAATCCCATAAAATATGGTTGGATTAGTGGTTTTCTATGTGTAAAAATGTAAAAAAGTTCAATGTAAGTAAATACTTTCACAGGGCACCCACTCAAGGACATTCTCTTAAAAAAAGACAGTGTGAAATAATTCCCTAAACGTCCAGTGGGACATAAATCATGTTTGTCAGTCTGCTAAAATACATTGGAATGCATGCAATGTGAACAAACAAGGAGAAGATCAAAACATCAAAATAGCCCTGAAGCATCCCAAGACATATCACAGTCTGGCTATCACTCTGAACTTTGACCAACCCCCCCGCCTCTATAAACAGCCACATTTATTTCCAGATGGAGCTTAGGTGAAGCATAACCTTGTGAAGAAACAGTCAAAGCAGAAGAGAACAGCAGTGGATGAGAACAATCTTTTATTGGTGTTTTTTGTTGTTGTTTGCTTGTTTTGTTTTGTTTGGAAAAAATTGCAATTACATCCAGAAACAGCCAGCTCAAACTGGCAGGGGATGGGGGCACCATGAACACTATTTATGCAGCAGTCACTACAAGGTTCACCGATCACATCTGTGAGGATATTAGAAACTGGATCCTGTTGGAGAGCAAACAATCACTGAGTGAGATGATCGAGGTCGAAAGGAACCGCCAAGGAGCATTGTAGTCATCTGCATAGTCCTTACACATCATGAGAACAGAAGAAATAAGTCTAAAATAAGTCTGCGTGAACGTCACGTTCAACTCAATGAGCTGAGTTTGTGGGGAGATGATGGCGGTGAAGTCCAGAAAAGAAGTGGTGAGCATTTCTGAAGAACACCCAAGAACATATCTCTAGTTTCAACAGATCATATCTCTCCAAAGAAAGAAAAACATTCAGAAATATAGAATAATAACAATATGAGGGTAGTCATCATAATAATAACAATAACAATAGCTGTAATGGTAACTATCCATCATGGTTATTAAAGGGATTAAAATCACACTTCAGCTAGTCATCCATCCCCCAGGAACATAATAACGCTGAGTACCATGCCCCTGTGTAGGTGTTAATACAGTAAAATGCAGATGGGTAGCTATGGGGGGTGGGGAGCACTAAATAGCAACAAGCTCTGCATCCACCTGGGAAATCTTTGCTTTCTCCCATAAATATGGGAAATTTTTCAATATTCCAACCAATAAAGGGGGGGTTTAGTATCACCATGCCGCTAACTGGTGTTTCCCAGTATGTTACTTTACTATATGGGGAAGTTGACCATGGGTGCAAGAAGTAGAGGCATGGATACATGAATTCAAATAGGATGCAGAGGAGCAGGGCTACTCGGTGCTGGCTAACATCACAAAGCAAGCCTCTTGGAGAGAGAGACAAAAATAAAAAAGGATCTGAATATAACAGGGATTTCAGAAATATGCACCAATCGACAGATTGAAATCATCTGTTAAAAACATAAAAAGTAAAACAAAACCACAAGACCTGGTCAAGACAAGTGCTGAATACACCTTGTGTCTGTCATTCTGTCTCTACTGAGCGTGCCCAGTGACCTTTACGTGACAGGGGGGAAAAAATAAAATAAAGGAAGTGCTCGAGATAAATTCCACAAAATGTCTAACAATACGATAATTTTGGCTCTCTATATTACAAATTATTACATACATCCTGAACCCTGCAGCTGCATCGTGACTAAAGCATCATGAAGGTTGACATCTCCTGACTCATCTAAAATAAAATGATGTTCACCATGGCTTCTCTGCATCTCTGTGTCCAAAACATGTAGAAAATATACAAAATTATTCTCTGCATATGCCCTCCCTCCACATTTTTCCTAAGTATTATAAAAATATACAATTCTCCAATAACAAAACTCTTAAGTCACATCTTTTATATTCAGTTAAATTACTCTCTCTCTCTCCATCAATCACTTTTAAGAGCTCAACAAAACGAGACACCTGAGCTTCAATGAACAACCCTTTTCCATGACTTTTACATTCATCATTTTATTCGTCAATGTCCTTCTCCTCATTATGATTTTAAAATCATTAGATCCGTTTAAAACATCCAGGAAATTCAGAGTCTTAAGCTTAATCTAGCTCCTCTTGTGGATTTTTCCTCCATCACTGGTCACCCAGACGGTTCTCGTATTTACTAAGGATGTTGCGGCACCGGCCCAGTTCTTTCCGAATCTCAGCCACTTCCTGTCGGAGGGCAGCGTTCTCTCGCTCCAGGTAGGCAGCGCGCACTGAGATCTGGTTCTCTTTCAGACGACGGGCGTCCCGCGAACGCTTTGCAGCCTCATTGTTTTTGTACCTCCTGTTCCAGTATTTCTCATCCTAGAAGAGGGACAGAGAGAAGGGACATATGATGAGTTTAGAATCTGATCTTTAATCATTAAACCCAAATAAATTAAGTACGTTTCCTGCATTTCTGACTGATTTGTTCATCTTTAGGTTATTCCACTAGTTTTAATATTAGCTAAAGATAACCTGAGTAAATACCAAATGGGATTTTAGTTCCTATGCAGATTACAATGTTTAATCTGCATAGGAACAACAGTACAATGATCAGTTAAGTGTGATTAAACACATTTAGGCTTTGTCGCACTCTGGCCTGCTCCTTGCTAAAACCGTAGAATCAAGAGCCACTTAAGTAGAGCATTTCTTACAGCTTGAAGTAGGCAAAAATATTTCAAATAATCAAAAAATCCAGGAATAGAAAAAGCATCAATCTAAAATTGCCAAGAAAGCGATATAAACAAGTACAGGAGCCATTATCCACAAACAGAGAAAACTCAGCTAAAAATACCTGGCAAACCAAAATTACTCCAAGATGGAAATGATGGCTCAGGTAAGGCCAGTGTTCAAACTTCAACACTCTGCTTTAGATTTCAGAGGGTTTCTTGTTGCCATGCCAATGATTACATACCAGGCAAACCTTGACAGTATGGTAAGGAACTGGTCAAATCTTAATAATCAGAGGTTCTGAAGCAGGAACATTTATAAAACATGCAGGACTGTGCATAAAAGCTGACGGCCACTGCAATAAGGCAGCATTGTTTGCACCCATACATCGGTACTGTAATATGGCTCCATGGCCGTCAATTACTATGGAGCAGGGTTAGTGTGGCAGAACGGAGAGCAAATAAAGTTTAAAAAGTTTGATATCCAGTTTGATCCATTTTCATTTCTCTATAAGAACTATAGAAAAAGGAAACCTGGGTAAAACTTTCAATATGCTTTTTATAGCCTTTTCCAATGAGCATTATTGATTATTTATAGTGGGAGTAAAAGACTTCACACTGTTTGTCTCAAAGCCCTTTCTGTAAAAAAGAAAAACTGATTTTACGGTTTTAGAACAAATACAAAGTAGTTAAAGATTCCCTTTCAAACTATGTTTAAAAAATCATACCAGCTGTTAGCAAGTTAGTATTTCTAAAACAGCTGGTCCAATATGTATTCTGTAGAGAATATAGTGGTTTAACTGAAACCCCCCAAAAAACAATGAAACTTTTTAGATCTGGTGTGTTCCATATGTGGAAAACTAAAAAAGGATAAAGGAGAGCAAATTTTCCATTCTCTGTCCAGCCTTCCTGTAATCTGCAGAATGTTTTGTTTTCTATCAATCTCTCACAGCCAGAAAAAAACACTAAACATTCGCAAAAAAAAAACAGATTCCTATTAAAAACTATTCGCATAACTAACTTATAGACCATTAAATCTGAGCCCTCCATGCTTTGGAAACAACACACAAGTGTTGCTTTCATTGTGACCTAGTAAGACTTATGAATGTAGTTTTGTAATTCCTTTTTTTAACTACAGATGTATTAAATATGAGCAGATGCTTGTCTTTTTCTGAGTAATCTGTTATCAAGGTCAGCTACATTTGCACCGTTTTACTCATTTATATCACAAGTTCAGTGGCCTTTGCTGTGATTCAGCTTAAAGTGGACCACGACAAAAGTGTTATTCACTTACTAGTCTATCAATCCGACTTTTATTCGTCCAGTAAAACTATGATCTGCCCAAAATGTTAAAGAAATAAATGTGGATTTTGTTTTTTTTTTAAATGTCATTGTTTAAGATAAAAAGGAATTATTTTTATGGGCAATAAAAAAAAAAAAATAACATGACTATTCTCTTTCATTTGGCAAATCTGTAATTAGCAAACACCTGATAAAGTGCAACCAACAGAATCGGAGTTAAATTTTGTGAACTCACCTTCATGTTATCAGGCACC